CCTCCAGAGTCCTCGACTCACCTTCAGTTCTCCCCCTCCCTGCTCACTGCCTCCAGACCCCGGGCAGAGCTTCTTGATGGGGGTGCCCATGTCAGTGCTGACCTGGGGTCGAGCCCAGGAGAAGCTGTGGGCCTCTTGCTTCTTAGACATGGATTCCTAGCCTGTCCTGCTCCCTGCAGCTCCACCGTCCACCCAGCCTCTATGTGAGGGGGCAGAGTTACTGTTTCTCACCTCTGTCTCCTGGCAAGGTCACTCACACTTCTCATTCACACCAGTATGCACTTCTGGGGGTGGGGGGTAAGTGTGCTGATCCTGGTGGAGGAAGGAAATGATGAAGGTGTGAATCTGTCGGGTCCACATCCCTTCCCCTGTTCTGGCCCCAGCTCAGCGCCCCTCTCTTTGGAATCCCACACTCTTCCAGCCACCCCTGATGCTCACGGCCACAGAGAGAGGGTTTCAAGGTGAAGCCATCAGCTGGTTCTTCCCCAGTACCTCTGTAGCCTCAGCGTTCTCATCTTAAACTGGGGACTAGCCCTGGCCACGTCATGGGGTTGCTAAGGGACCAATAGGCATCAATATTCAAAGTGCACAGCACATTGTAGGTGCTCAATAGAGGAGGCTGGTGGGACTGGTGTCCTGAGCAGTCCTGGGGCTGACCCCAGCTCCCCAGGGCCCTTCCCTGCTTATTTGTTCCCTCCTTGCCCCTGTTCCCTGTCCTCTAGGGCTTGGGAGAGGAGAGAAAGAAAGAGGGAGGATGGGTGCTCAGTCACCCTCACTGGTCACAACCACGATGGAAAGATGGCCTCAGTCTTTTTTGGAGGGAGGGGATGGGGGAGCCTCTCTCTTAAGCCACTCTCCTGAGCTTCATGACAGACCCTCCACCAGCAGGGAGTCTCACAGTGGGACCGGGGAGAGCCAGGAGCAGGACACAGGCATCCTGGATGGAGGCACCCATGAGGATATGGTGCGGGAGCTGCGGGCCCCACCCTGCCACTGACTGTGACTTGTCCGGGTTCCTGTTTCCTCCTGCTGCTGGGTACCGGGCACCCGCTTCCCAGGCCAACATGGACGCTGGGAGGTGACCCTCCTCCTTCGATCACAGGCTGTTTGGCCGGGTCCTTCCTGGATCTGCAGGTCCTGCCCCGTCATCTACCAAAGACTTTGGCTCCTGATTTACAGACCTCCGCAGCCGGTGCCCTCTGTGATCTTCCCGATGACATCACCAACCACGCAGATGGTGACCCAGCTGTACCCTGGCCTCTCAGCTCCTCGGGTGCCCCACCCCCACCTCCCCACCTCCTCCTCACCGCCCAGCTTTGTGGGTCCGCCCTGGTCACCACCCACCCTCTCTTCTCTCCCGCCATGGTCCTTGGCTGTCTCCCAGCCCAGCTTCCCGTCCCTCTGTAGCCCATACCCACAGCCTCTCCATGGCATTTTGCTCAGACCCTAGATCCCTCTGACCCTCATCTCTGACCATGCAACCCTGGGGGATGCCAGCCGTGCCCTTTCTCTGAATCTGTTCCAAGCCACCGAGTGCTAGGGTGGTGGCACGGGAATCAGAACAGGGCAGACTGGCTTCCTGTGGAATCCTGGTCTCCACACATCTTGGTCTCCTGCAGAGCCCCCGGGTTCCCGAGGTCAGCTTCTTCCCATTTTCTGTGATAACTTCCAACCTTCTTCACGCCTGCAAACCCACTCCCACCCCCGGCGCTCAGTAGAGGGCTTTGCTTGTGGGAGAAGCTACAAGCCATCAGGCAGGAAGTCCCTTAGCTCCCAGATAAACTCCCCCCACACCCCATTCCGCTGGAGGGGGTGCCCACCCCAGCTTCCCCACCCCGGGAACCTCCGGACAGCCATCTCCCTGTGCAGACCAGCCCTTCCTCTCCTCGGAGTCCCTCCTGTGCCTTTAAATATAAACTGCCTCCCTCCTATCATGAGAGAGAGAAGCCCCTCATTTGGTCCTCAGTCCCCTCTAGCTGTCACCCCCTGTCCTTTCCTTACAACCCAGCTTCTCAGAACAGTGTGGCAGCCCACGCCTGTGATCCCAGCGGCTCTGGAGGCTGAGGCAGAAGGATCGTGAGTTCAAAGCCAGCCTCAGCAATTTAGGGAGGCCCTAAGCAACTCAGTGAGACCCTGTCTCTGAATAATATACAAAGTAGGGCTGGGTTAGGCGCCCCTGGTTTCAATCCCGATACAGAAAATAAGTAAATAAATAAAAATAGCTGTTTTGTTCTGCTTTGCCTGCACTGTTCTCCTCCTCTTTCTGTCACCTTTTGTCACTCCAGGCTCTATTACCAGGCTCAATGAATATTTGCCAATGAATGAAACAGGATTAAAAGTGCACTCGAGGCCCCAAGAGCTGCTTCATCAATGTTCATTCAATCTGACAAGAGTTCCCGCCTTTGGGGGATTCTCAAAATGTCTTCCCCGTCCCCAAATAATTCCCCCACTGCCAATCAAGGTTGAAATTTTACCACCAGGGCCTATCATTCAGGAGGCTGTTATCTCTGAGCAACAGAAATTAGTTCCTCGCCTCTTTTCTGCCCCCAGACAGTGTAAAGAACTGTCCCCCAAAGACTCAGGATTTGAAATGCCTGGGGCCCACCAGCATCCTCTGCATGGCACATATGTGGAAACAGAGACCAGAGAGAGGAAGGCAGGGTCCTGAGGTCACCCAGCGAGCTCAGGATAGAGTGAAGTCTGGAACCCAGGTCCCTGAGAACTAGCTCAGGACTCTTTGCTGCCTCTGGCCATTCACTTGTTTAATGAATATTAAGCCACACTATGGGCAAGAGGGAGAGGACACTATGTATTTTGGGGGGTGCGAGTTAACAGGGATTGGACTAGGGTGCTCGACCACTGAGCCACATCTCCAGCCCTATTTTGCAGTCTCGCCGAGTTGCTTGGTGCCTCACTGTTGCTGAGGCTGGTTTTGAACTTGCGATCCTCCTGCCTCAGCCTCCTGAGCTATTGGGATTATAGGCGTGAGCCACGGTGCCTGGCTGAGAGGATACATATGTAAAACAAGAAAGAAAGAAACAAACAAAAAATAGCTACAGGACAGAGGAGGTTTTGCTTCAGAGAAGAGCCTGATGGTGCCTCAGAGCCCCAGCAGGAAGCGTGGCTCCAGGTGGAGTCCGGGCCTGCTTCGTGGAAGAGGTGATGATGTTTGAAACAGGCCTTGAGAAATGATCACGGAGGAGCCAGGAGAGGACGCGTGAGCACTCACCCTGGGACTCCGGCAGGGGTGTGTTGGGGAGCTCCCAGACGACTGGCAAAGCCACAGGGACAAAGCGGGGAGACAGAGTGAGGGCCAAAAGGAAGGCAGAGCCCAGCAGGAGGAGCAGGAGGAGCTGAAAGACCAGCGCGCCCCACAGTCTCCTGCAGAAGCCTCCCCAGGCCTTGAGAGTCGCCCTTCCCTCCCTCCATCACGGGTCCACGGAGAATGCACACCCAGCTCCCTGCCGCCACGTGAGACCGCGCTCTGCTTCTTCCACTCAGCAACAAGTCAGCAAGGTTCCCCGCGACCCACATGGGAACCTGGGAGGTAGCCTGGGAGGAGCCAGGGGCAAAGCCAAGGCTAAGACATAGGACGTAGCTGGGGCCAGGTGGGGGCTGGAAACCCAGGCTCCATGGCGGTCCAGGCCTGGGCCTTGTCCTTGAGGACTGCTGCTGCCCCTCATCAGTCTCTGTCCACTCTGGGGTCTCAAGGCCACGCCAGACAGAGGGCTGCTGGCGTCACTGGGACAGAGCTGCTTTCCCACAGCCCCTTCCTCCAGCCCCTCTGCTCTGCCTCTGAGACCTGGTCACCTCTCACCCACCTAGCTTGGTCCCACGGGTGGGATTTATGACTGGCTGCCCTGCCGCCTGTCCCTAGGTAATAAATCAGGGCAGAGCAGGAGCAAAACCTTCTCAAGTGCACAGTGTATAAAAGAAGGGCTCAGGAGCCACAGGCTTCTGTGGATCCCAGAGAGAGCCCAAGACTGAGCGGAAGCATGGACGGACGGAGCAGAATGCCCCGCTGGGGACTCTTGCTGGTACTCTGGGGCTCCTGCACCTTGGGTCTCCCTGCGGACACATCCTCCTTCCGACGGTAACCTGGGAAGAGAGGGGGTGGCAGGGGTGAGCTCTCAGATACATGGGGTCACCCAGTGTTCATGACCAGCCAGTCAGGGAGGTATGGTACTGTTCAGAGAGGTGAAGTGACTTGCCAAAAGTCACACAGCCCATAAGCGACACTGCTCAGGCCTGGAGATCATCTCTCCTAATCTCTTCCTAGAGCTTTTGATTCCTGCCCAGAGCCCCTTGCTTGGCACTGTGGGGAACTCGAGATGATTAAGACATGCCCTTCCCCCCAAGTAGCTCACAGTCTAATGATTAAGAAGTGTGTGGGTAGTTAACTCTATCGAGCAGAGTTGTTTCGGTTTTAATTCTGCTCCCCTAGAAGAACACCTTAGCTCTGAAACCATGGGCAGGTTAACCTCTCCGAGTCTCAGTATACTGTTTTTAAAAACAAGGATGAAAACAGAACCTGCTCCCTAGGGCTGCTTTGAAGATTTAATGCATGTAAGGCCATGAGCGTCTTGCTGTGCCCACGGTAAGAACCCAGATGCTGTTAATAACACACGGTGGATTATCACCGACCTTAAGAGGATGGCTTCCTGCAGCCCCGAGCACGCAGCGAAAGCCCTGACATCCACCTGGTGCCAGGCCCCACAAGCGAGTCCCTAAGACTGGAGAAGTGGGAGGCAGAGCCAGAGGCCTCGTGGAGAAGCAGGTGGCAGATGAGGCCTACAGGGGGGGGTCTTGAAGGGCGCAGGCAGGGCTTAAGAGCAGCGGTCGTTGCTCAGCCTATACAAGGCCCAGTACTTCACAGGAGCTCTTCACATGTCCCCTCCCAAATGATGTCCCCACAGGTCACCATTTCCATTTTACAGATGAAGACTCTGAGGCTCAGGGAGGTCACCTGGAAGAGGCTGAGGCTCAGCACACACTCCATCTTTGCTTCCAAAGCCTCTCTCAAACTCCTCTAAGGCTCTCAGCTGCTGGGTTGGGGTGTGGGGTAAGAGGATGGATGTGTCCCAGCAGCCCCACCCCAGGATACAGGTAGAGGGACGTAAAAGCATGGAACAAGAAGAAGGGAATCAGGCAAGGGGTGGGAGGGAGCCAAATCTGGGGACAGCCATAAGATTACTTTGCCACCTGTTCCATGCACAGCACCATGCAAGTCCCTGAGTTAGCTGGAGCCACTAGGCCCATTTATATGGGGATTCAGAAGACGCCCAGAGAGGTTAGATAATGCTCAGAATCACACAGCTAGCCAGGGGATCCAAGAATGTCCCCACAACCACAGTGTCCTCACCACCATGAGCACCACCCCCATGGGCCGTGAGGTGTGCTGGCTGGAAGGACCCAGGGAAATGGAGCAGGAGCCTGGGTGGATTGGCATCCTTGGGGCAAGCTGCCAGGTGGGGATGCACACGGGGCCTCGAAGGATTACAGAAGTTGAGTTGGGAGCCTGGAGAAGGAAGGGATTTTCTGAAAGAGAAATGGCAACAAAGTAAAGGTCCAACGCAGAGACTCTCTGCAGCTAACATGGGAAACGCTCCTTCTTTGGAGTCAAACTTCCATTTTCCCATCTGTAAAATGGGACCAAGGAAAAACACCCATCACCTGAGAGGGCTAAGGATCAAGTAAAATCAAGTGTGATAGGCATGTAGCTCATTTCAGCCACAGTATTACCTAGACCGGCATCAAAGTGTTCACGTTCATGGGCAAAATGAGGGGAGGGTCAACAGTGGGCTTGGAGTGTGGGAGGGATGGAGAGGGCAAGTACCAGGGGACTCACAGCCCAGAAGAAAAAGGGCCTCTCCATCTGTCTGGGAAAGCCACTTAAGTTGGGCTTCAATCCTGGGACGCCTTGGCCACCAGCTAGAGACATCTTCCTCAGGTTCCAGCAGAAAGCCTTCCCGTGGGAGCCCAGGGGACCCTGTATGGGAAAGAGGGCCAGACACGAGCTTGGAATCCCTACTCTACCATTTGGGAGCTACTACCACCCCCAGAACCTTCCCTGTCTGTCAAACAGTAGGGCCAGTTTGCCAAGTTGTTGGGAGGTTTGCTTGGGCATGTGTGCGCTATGGCTGGCACTGCCCCAAGCAATTCAGGGTGCTTCGAGTTCTCAATTCCACCTGCCAAAGGTGATTGGAAGGCATCTGTACAAGAAGTCCAGGGTCTGGAACTTAGGCCCAAGACACATCTTGCCAAGGGCAAGGTACACTGCCATCTGGAGATACTGGCCGGTCCTTGCCCAACCCAGTTCAATGGGTCCACTCCATCACAGCCCAGGCTTCATGCCTGTCCCCAGGGGTCTTGGAGTCCCCTCCCCACTCCCCAACCCCCCACCCTGACCCTTCAGTCGGCTATGTGCATCTGCTGCCACCTACAGGCCACACATGGCACTGCATCTCCCATCCCGCATAGGGCTGTGGGAGTGTGGCCCCCAGCCTCCATCCACTAGCGGGGACCTCAGTGTGTTTCCTATTTCTCCGCCTGTGGAGTTCCTTAAAGGCAGTGATGGTCTTTACATCCACCCAGTGCAGTGAGTCACAGAGCAGGTGTTCAACACAGGATGGATGGATGGATGGATGGAGGAAAAACAGCCTTGTCTAATAAAAATCAAACATCAGGAGGAAGTTAGTTGAAGGTGACTTCATACCAGTTCAGGTGACTCAGAGGCCTGCACATCCTCCTTCAGAAGCCCTAGGCCCAAAAATGAGTTTTGGGTGCTTGGGCTGTGGTCAGCGTAGAGGTACTAAAGGTCGGTGCCCAGGACTCTCCCATCACCGTGGGGGAGTACAGGGCTCTTCTATTTCCTTCTTCCACTCAGGATCTTCCTCAAGAAAATGCCCTCCGTTCGGGACAGCCTGAAGGACCGAGGCGTGGATATGGCCAGGCTCAGTGCTGAGTGGGGCCAGTTCACCAGGAGGCTCTCCTTCAGCAACAGCACCTCACCAGTGGTCCTCACCAACTACCTGGACGTGAGTGCCTGGCCCTGCGGCCCGCTGCCTGGCCCTGCAGCCCGCTGCCTGCCCGTCTCCTTTCTTTCTTGGACTTACTGCATTTTGGTTGTTGCCAGCACCGTTCTCCCCAGGCTCTGCTTGAGAACCACAGAACACTCCAGAAAAACCCCATTTTATATCTAGAAAGCCTGAGGTGCAGAGAGCAGGAAAGAACCCAGAGGCAGTGTTAGGTTGGAATCAATCCAGGTCTCAAGCCAGGCACCCCTGTTGGGGGGATGTGGGAGGAGTGTGCAGCTGGGCCTCACGGCCTGTCTCCGTGCAGCCCGAGGGCTCCGGCTCTGGTGCCTCCTCAGGGTTGGATTCTTTTTCACTGATCTTATGATGCTTCCTTGTCTTGTTGAAACTTCCATCTCCTGAGATGTCAGGGGACAGTGCCAAGCACCCCCACAGTGCCTGCAGGACAATGGAAACCCAGAGAGGCTGTGGGATCTGCACCATCTTCCCCTGAGAGCCACGAATGGAAACAGGCAAGACCCCAAGCCTCAGGGGTCCCTGGGCCCCTCCAGCACCCTCTTCCCTTTTACCCCCCCAGACCCAGTACTACGGTGAGATCGGCATCGGCACACCACCACAGACCTTCAAAGTCATCTTTGACACGGGTTCAGCCAACCTCTGGGTACCCTCCACCAAGTGCAGCCCCCTCTACACTGCCTGTGGTGAGACACGGCCCCACGGCGCTTGCCCCCAACCTCCCTCCCTGCCACGCTCGGGTAGTCCTACCCCACCCCGGCCAAGTCCATCCTGCTACCCACCAGCTCCTTCCTCTCTGCCCCTGAGCCTAGTGACCCTGACAGGAAGGAAGGTGACTCCCGCTGCCCTGATATGACCACCGAGTTCAAATAGCCAGCTCCGGGAGCCAGGCCATTCTCCAGCCTCTGGGCCACCCCATCCCCACACCTAACTCCTCAGCCCCACGAGCTGTGCCCACAACCCGCCCTGCCTCCAAGCCCTTTGCCTGGGCGGCTCTTGCGCAGGCCTGAGTCTGTGTCCCTCCACCAGAGATTCACAGCCTCTATGACGCCTCAGAATCCTCCAGCTACTTGGAGAATGGGACGGAATTCACCATCCACTATGGATCAGGGAAGGTCAAAGGCTTCCTGAGCCAGGACGTAGTGACTGTAAGTGGGGCTGCCCCTGGCCATCTGACCACCTTCTGTCCCCAGGCCCCCGCTGCCCCTCTAGGCTACACTGGGGGCAGCTACAGTCAGCCCACCTCAGAGCCTGGGGAGCTGATGATCCCTGTTGCTTCTAGCTGGAGCTGCAAAGAAGCACAAGCGTGGTGGAGCAACCCAGGCTACCTGCCACCCTTGGGTGATGGATGGGGGCATTTGCATCTAATTTGCATGTAGGGCTTGTCCTAGCTCCAAAGCCTCCAGCCAAGGAACCTGCCTGAGGTCACCAGCTCTGACTGGACTCTGAACCAGGCCCTGGATTAAAAACCAGGATATTGTTGACATTGGGGTCAGGCTTAGATCTAGGGTCCACCACAGCTGAGGTTACAGTCTGGGGTTTGGTGTCAGGGCAGGATTCCTTTTACATTGGGCTGGTATCTGACCCCTTCCCATTCTGGAGTTTCTTAGCCCCTACTGTGGGGAGGGGTACCCATGGAACCTCAGAGGAAATCTGTGAGCCCCTTTCTCCTCTCCTTGTCTGTGAAATTGGGGTGAAAGAAATCCTGTGCTGAAGACATCCTTAGCCTGCGATGGCAGTGGGGACTGAGGCCCAGGCCTGTGGGCCTGAAAGCAGGGCATGGGGAGGGGTTGTGACATTCTTGGTCTCTCTTCTATCATTGCCTGGAAGGATCACCTTCACAACCCATGCCCTAGCAGCCACAGGCCACCCCAGCTCTCTCTGAACCCCACAGCACAAGTTTGTTGAAGGAGAGGCTAAGTGTGTGTGTGTATGGGGGTATTGATGAAACAATTTTACCCCAAATGGCTGTACCCCGGAGAAGGTGTGTCCCTGGGGCTCCCAGTGTGGAAGCTCAGATCACACCCCAGTTGGCGTGAGCGGTGGGCTTGGTCTCCTCTGGTTCTTCTTCCCACAGGTGGGCGGAATCACAGTGACACAGACATTTGGAGAGGTCACAGAACTGCCCTTGATACCCTTCATGCTGGCCAAGTTTGATGGGGTTCTGGGCATGGGCTTCCCTGCACAGGCCGTCGGGGGTGTCACCCCTGTCTTTGACCACATCCTCTCCCAGAGGGTTCTGAAAGAAGATGTCTTCTCTGTCTACTACAGCAGGTGGGCTCCTGACCCCAGGACCAAGGGCAGTGGAGGGAGGAGCAGAAGGAGCTGGGGAGTAGGAGAGTCTGGGCCAGGATTTTTGTGCTGGTGGTTAGATGGTCAATCAGTACCCAGCGCTGCACTATCCAGTATGGAGGCCACTACTGAAATATAAATGAATTAAAATTAAGTAAACAACAGCATGAAGTTCCTTGGTTGCACTAGCCACCTTTCCAGTGCTCAGCAGCCACAGTGGATGGTGGCTACCATATTGGATAGTGCAGTGTAGAACAGTTCCATCGTGACAGAATGTTCTAATGGATAGTGCTGCTCTGGAACAAGAGGATATCGGGTGGGGATTACTGCAGGCTGGAGATGCTGCCTCTGAGGATGATGGCTCCTCCCACACAGACAGCCAACTTCAGTCCTGTATCAGCTTCTGAATTCATTTGCTCACTCATTGATCCAATCAATGCTATGCACCACACACTGTGGTGGGCTCAGCCAGGACAGTGAACATGGCAGACGAGCTTGTGGTTTAACAGGGAAGAAGAAAGGCCACAGTGTGATGGGCACCCAGGGCTATGCTGCTGAAAACCACGGTGCTTCTCAATTCTGGGCTGAGCTGACATGCTGTGCTCAGCTCCCGAGTAGGGCTGTGATTTGCTTCAAGCTGCTGGGTTTAGAAAGATGGTCTGAGCTGGAAACAGAAAGGTTGTATGGTAAGAGCATGAATTGGAGGGGAGGAGCAGAGTCCAGACTGATCTCAGAGGTAAGAGGATTCTCCGGTTGGTGACAGGAAGGGAGATATTGAGAAAAGGCCACGATGGGTGGCTCTGCAGTCAGGGGCAATCTTGGGAAGAGCCCTTTTAGAGGAAGAGGGGGGCAAGGCCTGAGGGCAAGCAGTTAAGGGGTAGAGGTGGGTGTCAGGAAGTGGAAGTCACAGAACGTAGGTTGCTCTGGGAAATTCAGCAAGGAAGGGGGTGTGGGGTGAGATCCAGAGAGAAGCAGGGACGGGAGGTAGGTGTTTTTAAATGCTAGAGGATCCTCCAGCAATGCTTGTGGGAGGAGGAAGAAGCCAATGGAAAGCAAGAGATTGAAAATGTGAAAAGGCGATAAATGTGGGTACACAAGCCAGGGCTGCGGAAGGGATAAGGGTCCGACTTTGCTGAGCAGAGGTCTTACCTGGGGCTGGGAAGAAGGGGACATGCAGAGAGAAGCTGAGGCGCGAGGCGAGGGCAGGAGGGAACTTGCTGCATGCACACACATCCAGAAGGAGGAAAACCACAGGAATCGACACTCACACGAAAGAAAACGTGCACACATCTGCAAATTCTAGAAAAGCACACCACATACACACGCACACTCTGGAAACCAGCTCCTTGAGCCCTTGGAGGCCTTGCGCAGCATGGAGGAGAGGAAGGCAAGGGAAGTCAGCTCCCCACCAGGAATCAGGAGCCCTGGCTCCTGCCCTGTCTACTTCAGGCCCAGGTGACCTCAGGCAAGTGACTTTGTCTGTTGGGGTGACTCCATTGCCTGAAGGGTAAAAAAGAACATGCCTAATCCACCTTGCCAAACTGCAGGACTGGTGAGGCTCCCCTGAAATAATGAAGCTCCCCCTTCCCTCCCCCTCCCCCACCTCCCCCACCTCCCCTGCAGAAATTCCAAGTAAGGAGATGAAACTCCCACAGGGCCCTGTACTCCCTGAGCACCCGCATCCCACATGCCCCCTGCACCAAAGCTCTCCTCAGCAAGCCTGGGCCCACCAGGTGCCAGTCTCTGCCCCTCCATCCCACTCTCTCCACACCCCTGCCCGCCCTGTCCCCATGGCCTCCCCGGAGCCCACCCACATTTCTGCTTCACCTAAGGGAAGGGGTTGCCTTGTGCCTGTTCCTTTTCTATGACTTCTCTGGGGATTTGTTTTTGGAGGGGGCTGTACAACTGGACTATCCTTGAAAAACCTCTAGTTGGGTTTGGGAAGGGGCCAGAAAGGGGGAAGCACCCCATTCTTCATGCTTCTTAGAGACAGCTCCAGCCCTGCCATCTGCCCCTCCTTGTTCCCTCGCCCAACTCTCCCTTGTTGCTGAATCTCAGATCTGCTGGTCTCTCCTTTAGGGACTCCCACCTGCTAGGGGGAGAGCTCGTGCTGGGGGGCAGTGACCCCCAGTATTACCAAGGGAACTTCCACTACGTGAGCATCAGCAAGACTGGCTCCTGGCAGATCACGATGAAGGGGTCAGGAGTCCTTCCCTTCTCCACTCTACAAAATGGGGTTGGGCTGGGTGGGGACAGGGCAGGGTTACCATCCTGCCCTCTCTGCAAACAAGGGATGGCCACCCACTGCTCTCTGCCTGCTTTGTGCAGGATGAAGAAGACGGATTTGAGGAGCAGGGGAGGGGAGGGGGTCTGGGCAGGGCTGAGGAGTCACTAGGCCCTGTGCTGGGGCGGGGGGCACCTTCCCTCGTCCACTCAGGCCTCACCCCTCCTCCAGTGCATCACCAGACCAACAGCATGGCCTCCTGTCACCATCCTCACTCAGAAAAGATAAGCAGCCTGGGGGTGCCCTTCAGCCTTTTGCCTGTCTGACTGTGGCCTCCCTGCAGGGTGTCTATAGGGTCTGTCACCTTGCTGTGTGAGGAGGGCTGCATGGCAGTGGTGGACACCGGTGCATCCTACATCTCGGGTCCCACCAGCTCCCTGAGGCTGGTCATGGAGGCCCTGGGGGCCAAGGAGCAGAGCACAGATGAAGTAAGACGCTAAGGGGTGGGGTCCCAGGGTGGGGGGAGCACCCTCTTGGACCAAGTCCCCAAATCACCCCAGGAAACATTAGGTCCCAAATGAGGCCATTTCAGGCCTTCTCCTTGTCACCTCTCACTCTCTCCACACAAGGCTAGTTCCTCCTGGAGGCAAGGCCGGCATAATACTCTCCAGCAGAGGGGTTGGGTCACAAGTGGGGCTCGTGGTTTGCTGAGAGTTCCCACGCTCAAAAGGGCTCCCTTGACCCCTTTCCTCCCCAGTATGTCGTGAACTGCAACCAGGTGCCCACCCTCCCTGACATCTCCTTCCACCTGGGAGGCAGGGCCTACACGCTCACCAGTGCCGACTATGTGTTACAGGTGAGGCGCAGGGAGGAAGGGTGGGCAGGGACCCTTGCAGGGGGATAAGTCGCAATGCATAGATTACATGCTAGGTCATGGTTTCCAAAATTGGCTGCTCAGGTCACCTGCAGAGCCTTTAAAAACCCAGTACCCAGGCCCCACCCTACCCCTGTGAACCCAGAACATCTAGGAGTGGCACCTGGGCAGTGTGGTTTCAAAGCTCTCCAGGGAATTCCAGGGTGGAGCCACATTTGTGAATCACTGTCTTTGGTTTGTCCCTCTAGCACCATCCATTTTCTCATCAAATGTTCCTGATAATCATATATATATGCAGGGATTGAACCTGGGGCACTTAAACACCGAAGAACATCCCCAACTCTATTTAGAGATAGTCTTGATGAGTCTGGGGTTTTTGTTGTTGTTGTTGTTGTTGTTTTGGTACTGGTGATTGAACTCAGAGGTACTTGACCACTAGCCACATCCCCAGCCCTATTTTGTATTTTATTTAGAGACAGGGTCTCACTGAGTTGCTTAGGGCCTCACTTTTGCTGAGGCTGGCTTTGAACTTGCGATCCTTCTGCCTCAGCCTCCTAAGCCGCTGGGATTATAGACGTGTGCTTCTTATGCTTAGAGAAATCACACGTCTAGGGTCAGAAGCTAAAGCCAGACCGTGAGTGCTTGAATGCAGCTCAGTGCCTGGTGGGTTGCCTGCCTGGCTCTAGCACAGGGCCCTGGTGCAATCCATGCAGAGTTCAGATGGCCAAGATGTGATGAAGGCCCAAGGTGAATGGGGGAGGGAAGGTAGAATGTTACTGAGACAGATGAAGGGCAAAGGGAGGCTGGTTTTTGCTGAGCAGTACAACAACCCTCCTGCTTCCTGCCAGGACCCCTACAGTAGTGAGGACCTGTGCACATTGGCCCTCCATGGCCTGGACATCCCACCGCCCACTGGGCCCATCTGGGCCTTAGGTGCCAGCTTCATCCGAAAGTTCTACACAGAGTTTGATCGGCATAATAATCGTATTGGCTTTGCATTGGCCCGCTGAGCCCTCCGCTGCCTGGGGAAACCCTGACTTCAGCCTGAGTCCCTCTGCCTTGGCCTCTACGCTCATGTGGGGACACTGGATGTGGAGCTCCTGCTAGATGCTTGCCCTGCCCCCTGCACCAGCCCTTCCCTGCTCTGAAAATAAAGACTTCATGTTCATGATCCATAGCATCTGGTTTTACTTGCGTTTGGAACAGAGAGGGGAAGTTGCATGGTCATGTGTGAATAGGAATGTGACAAAGACCAAACAAATTCCAATTCACCCCGTTGCACAGGTCCCTGCATGCAGAGATGATGCCATCTGTTTGTTGTCAACAGGGCTTGGTGGAGTTTGTTTACACAACCTTGGGTGGAAGTATTTCAGAGAGTCAACCCCAGTCCCTTCCAGTCCCTCAGGGATCAAGGCTAATGCTGCAGCAGAAGCTGTGGGCCAGAAAGATGCCCCTAGGGCACAGAGCCCTCTCCAAGCCCAGACTCTGTGCTCCACACGCTGGGAAACTCCCTTCACCTGCTTCTGCTCCCCTGCAGACCCTGCCCCACCCCGTGTGGCCATTTACACAGGCAGTCTAAGGCACCACCCTCCAACAATGCAGACCAGCAAAGATCCAGCCAGTACCCCCCTTCATACGTGGGGAAACAGGCGCACTGAATGGAAAGCATTGGCCCAAGATCACTCAGGAAAGAATCAGGTAGTGAAGAATTAAGCCTAGAACCCAGTTTGTCAGGCTCAGGTCCTGAAGGTTTTCCACCTGATCCTGCACAGCTGGAACTGTTGCAGGTAGGAGGAGCTCATGTGTAGGGTCACGTGTAGGCGCATAGATGCTTACACTGCTATCCTCCATTGCGTCACACAACTAAACGGGTCAAGGTCACTCCAAGTGAACTTGGGGAATAAATAAAGACACAGACACAGAAAGTACCTTTTTTTTTTGGCTTCAGTGACCACTCCTCAGCCGCAGGCAAGAAAGGGGAGAATAGCACAGCACATGCTGAACCCTTTTATTGGGTTCATTCAAACTGAGGCAAGAGGTCAGGTTTCAGGAGGTTGAGTCTAGCTTCCTGATGTCTTGCTGTCAGCAGGTTGACTGACATCTAGGAAGGCCGCGCCCATCTCATGTGCTGTGTGGGGATCAAGGGCAGAGCCAGCAAAAAGATGCATAAGTTGCCCGCTCAGTGCTCATAGTTCACACACACACACACACACACACACACACACACACACAGCCCATGGCTGGCTTGCCACATCTCCACATTCTCATTGCTCAAGGCTAAGGGATGCTGGGTTCCTATGTGGCAGCTCCCAACAATCCTCCATCTCATGGACTTGAGACTCCTTAGGCAGAGTCTCTTCTCACACTGTTACCCCAAGGACTGTCCAGGCGTGTAGGTTGGGAAATGAGAAAGCAGCAGCCACCTGAAGCCACTAATGCTGTCCCTTAATGTAGCTACTCAAACTTCTTTTGCCTGAAAAATATGAGTCTCTGAATGTTCCAATCAGGCTCTTGGTACCTCTAGGAATGCAGCCTCCTGGGACTTGATGGGACCTCAGGGATGGCTTCATTTTCTCAGTGCAAAAGGAAAAACTGAGCAGGGCATGGGGGTGGATGCCTGTAATCCCAGCGGCTCAGGAGGCTGAGGTGGGAGGATCGCAAGTTCAAAGCCAGCCTCAGCAACGGCAAGGTGCTAAGCAACTCAGTGAGACCCTCTCTCTAAATAATATACAAAATAGGGCTGGGGGTGTGGCTCAGTGGTTGAATACCCCTGAGTTCAACTCCTGGTACCAAAAATAGGAAAAGCTGGAGGCAAAGTTCTTTCCAGCCCTGAATCCTAAGGATCCATGACCTGAAGTAGGCAGGCCCCCGTGATCTGCTATGTTGTGCAATTCAGTGGCCACATGAGGTTGTTTACATTTAAGTTAAATACAATGTCACACTAGCTACATTTCAAGTGCCGATAGCCACCTGTGGCCAGTGGTCACTGCATTAGACAGCACAGATACTTCAGTAGGGCAGAGCTGGGTTATGGACAGAAATAATCATAGGGTCTTGTGGTTGAGAGGTTCCTGGGTAGACCAAAGGAATAACTTGGGGACACAGAAACAGGTCCCTTTTCTGTAGGCACTGAGTGAGACAATGTAAGATGGTGACTAGTGAGGTCCATGAGGCAGGACAGTGAGTGATGGCAGCCAACAGGAGGTGATAGAATGAGTAGTGAAGACTACAACTAACAGTGGCTTCCCCGTAGGCTGGTCTGGCCTCTCCACATCTCCTCTTCCTCATAGCAACTGCCCTGGCACACCTTGTCAGCTCGCCTCTTTGTGTCCCACTCCCCAGATATTGCTTATCCTGCTTTGGCCCTATGCCAGGCTTCTACCTCTTCTCCCAAAAGGCCAGTCCAGAGTCTATCCACCTCCACACCCCTTTGCCCAACAAAGCACGGGGGTAAGGGACACCTGCTGGGCTACTACCTGCCCCCAGTCAAACTCTTGGGTCAGGAGGGAGGCTATAATAATTTATTACTGACAAAACTCAGTCCTGCTCAAAGTCTTGGCCTAGAATGTGCCCCCATACTCCAATGCTCTGGAAGGTTCAGTGACCTGTCAGAAGACAAAGTCTGCCGGCTTAGCATGCCCACCTCCCAAACCATCTCCCAACATCCCTCTCCATTAAATATGTGTGTGTGAGGTGGTGGTGGCGGTGGGGAGTACCCGGGACTCCCCGCAGGGAACGAAGGGCCTTGGAGATGCAGCACGGGCAACTCCTGCAGATCCTTTTCTGGGGGCCCAGGGATTGAGCTCAGGAAGCAGGGACCAGGATGGGTGGGGGGGATTCAAGCTGATGTCTTGGGAGCACCCGGATTTCCATAACCCAGGATGAGGAGGGGCGCCGAGGAGCCCTCCCCGCCCCTGCCCAGCTGCTGGGAAAGCCGCGGAGAGTGCCCGGAGCAGCCCCAGCTGGGACCCGCGGGCGGATCCTGCAGAGGCTCCGCCCCCGGCGTCACCGCCCCCCCCCGGGGGGCGTCACCCCCCACCCCGCGCTCCAGGTAGCTGAGACCACAGCTGCCCGCGATGGCAGGCGGCGCTCCACGGCGGCCCGCGGGCCGGGGCGGGGGCGGGCAGGGGGCGTTCCCGTGGCCCGCCGCCCGTGATGTCACAATCGCGGCGGGCCCCGGCGTTCCGGGGTCGGCTTCGGGCGCCGGGCCGAGAGCCGGCGATCGAAGCGGGCAGCTGGCTCCTGAGTCATGGACTTCCCCTGGCCCCTCCTCTACCACTCCCACTCCCTCGCCGGGCCCCCCCGCAGGGGCTAGCGCTCGCGCGGCGGCTCCGAGGGGGTGGGGCTGCTGGGAATGGCTGTGCCCCCTTCGGCTCCTCTGCCGTGCTCGCCCTTTTACCTGCGGAGGCAGGCGCCTTGCCCGCAGTGCTCATGGGGCATGGAGGAGAAGGCAGCGGCCAGCGCGGGTTGCCGGGAGCCGCCGGGCCCCCCGAGGGCCGCCGCTGTCCCGTGCTTCAGCGTCTGGGTGGACCAGGACGACATCCTCCCGGGCGCCCTGCGCCTCATCCAGGAGCTGCGGCCGCATTGGAAGCCGGAGCAAGTTCAGACCAAGGTAGCCGAGCGGGCGCGGGGCCGGGATGGGGCCCTGCCGAGGCTGCAGCTGGGCTGCGTGGACGCCTGTCCATGCATCCTTCCGGGTGCCGGTCCCAGGGGTGCGCGACCGCTTTCGCAGGAGAGCTTTGGGTCGTGGTTTGTTTGCCTGTTTATCCCACCGTCTATTTTGGGCCAGAAGCGAAGCCAGGCGCACGCCTCCTTGGACCTTCCACACACACACACACACACACACACGCCTCCTCTCGGGGTTCTTCTGCTCGCGGGAGGTCCACCTGCCCACTGTCAGCATGCTGCGCGTGCGGGCCCCACCCCCTGTCCCTGCTTGCTGGTGCCCCTAGCTGCCCAGAAGCGTTTACCCAGCCAGCTGTGAAACCTGAGGAGGCAAGAACTTTTAAGGGAACCCCATTGCCATCACCATACACGTGTTGCTACCCCTTCTCCACCTCCATGGTGGGAGCAAAACCTCCAGGTTGTGAGCAGCCCCTAGAGTCCCTGGAGCCACCTCGTGGAATCCAGCCAGCATGGAGCCCCTCACCATGACTGCAGGCTGGGACCCAGCACGCACACACACTAACCTCCAATAGGCGCCTTGCCCACCCTAGCTGGACACACTCTCCCTGATACACCTGTGGGCAGAGCTTCCCACCGAGCGGTGCCAGGCTGACTCCCCAGCTGACCTGCATTCTCGGAAAGGAGGCCTCCACCTGCCCACCATCCCCACGCCCCCTCGGGGCTGCCTATGAAGGCAAGAGCTGAGCCGTTAGGGCTTCATGCTGAAGGGCTTTCTGGGTAGAGAAAGGCAAAGTTCTGGGGAGATTCTGGACTTGAATGTGGAGGCTGACAGAACCCTCCAGGGAGTGGGCAGCATTTTCAGAAGGCCCAGTTTGGTGTGTTAAGACGTCAAGCAGGGGGCTGGGGTTAGCTCAGTGGTGGAGCGCTTGCCTGGCATGTGTGAGGCCCTGGGTTCCATCCCCAGCACCACATGAAACTAACTAAATAAAATATTGTGTCCACCTGCAAATAATTAAAAAAAAAAAAAAGACATCAAGCAGCCTGTGGTGTTGGCACATGCCTGTAATCCCAGCCACTCATGAGACTGAGGCAGGAGGTTGGCAAGTTCCAAGGCCAGCCTCGGTAACTTAGCAAGGCCCTGAGCAACTTTGTGAGACCCTGTCTGGAAATAAAAAATAAAAAGGGGCTAGAGATGTAGCTCAGTGGTAAAGCACCCCTGGGTTCAATTCCCAATATGGAAAAGGAAAAAAGACATCAAGGGATCTGAGGTCATTTCCAGCACTAACCAGCCTAACATTTCAGCTGCCAGCCTCTCCCTCTCCTGGTCTCAGTTTCCCCACCTAGAATTGGTCCAAATGTCCTCTAAGATCCCATAAAGCTCTGTCATAATGTGCCCTCCCCTCAAACCCATGGTTTCTTCCTCCTTATAACCCTATTCGTAGAGCCTGTGCCCCAGCCCAATTGTCTCCTATCTCTACTGGTATGGAACTCAGAGGCTCCAAGGACCTCTGGCCTCCAAAGTCCTGGGATGGGTGCCAACCTCAGTACCTTCCTTGTACCTCTGCTGCTGGATAGAGCCAGAGGTACAGCAAAGAGCCCTCTGCCTGGCAACAGTGAGAGGCAGCTGGTCAGGACATTCTGTCCCGGTGACTCCCAGTCTTCCTCTGCCACATTCGGGTCCATAGGGTGTCTTTCAGGACAGGGATGGAGGAATAGGGAGGGGAGGGGACTTCTACCCACCACCCAGTGTGGACTTTCCTCTACTGCCGAATCACATCCACTAGGGTCAGACTCAGGGGAAAAAGTGTGCCTGCGCTGAGCCCAAGCTGCCATTTTTTTCCCCCTTTGGGCTCTCTAGTCTATCCTAAGGTTAGGGACAGGACTGGGTTATATGTTGCTGTGGCCAGCATTCAAATGAGCCTCTCCTGCTGAGGCACTGGGGGAGAGACCAGAGACATCCTGCCCCACCCACCCACAGCTGTCCTCTCCCTGTGCTAGCGCTTCACTGATGGCATCACCAACAAGCTGGTGGCCTGCTACGTGGAGGAGGACATGCAGGACTGCGTGCTGGTCCGGGTGTACGGGGAGCGCACAGAGCTGCTGGTAGACCGGGAGAATGAGGTCAGGAACTTCCAGCTGCTGCGAGCACATGGCTGTGCTCCCAAACTCTACTGTACCTTTCAGAATGGGCTGTGCTACGAGTACATGCAGGGCGTGGCCCTGGGACCTGAGCACATCCAAGATCCCCGGCTCTTCAGGTAAGGAGGGTGCAGGGTTCTATTCATCTCTGTTCCTCTGGCCTTGAGCTTTGAAATCCTTGGCTCCCTTCATTGCTGTAGAGTGGTCTCCATGGAGGAGAAGGAGATCTGTGAGCTCCCCGAGATTACATGAACAAGTGTGTGTGTGTGTGTGTGTGTGTGTGTGTGTGTGTGTGTGTGTTGTGCATTGCTTTGCAGAGAGGCGATGGCTTTCTGTGGGTTTTCATTGGAGTTTGCTAGAAGGATGAGCTCTGGGGGAGGAAAGTGAGAATTTTAATGAACATTGGACCCAAGTTTCTGGTTCCTGAAATGCAGCAGAAATCTGCTTCCTGATCCCATGCCTCAAATCTCTGCCCACCCCTGGTCTGACCTGGAAACATCTCAGAACTTTGGAAATGAAATCCGAGCCAAATCCACAGGAACACACTCAGGTTTTCCTGCCTCTCCTCACCTTCTGCAAGGCCTTAGGTGTGTGAGGAAAATGGGCTGTATCTAGGGTGTGCATGGCTTTATGGAACAGAGAGAACCCTCCCTCCTGCTGGTCTGAGCTCTTTTGGGGCTCCCTGACAGTGTGGGAATCCAGGTTTGGGGAGCTGCTGAGGCCTCCTTGCAAGGGCTTCAAAGAACCCATGACCCTTGGGGGGCCCCTCCCCATAAATACCTGGATGTGTAGTGCCTAGAAATTGTACTTAACCTTTAAACCCTGTGGATGCTGCTGTGGGGCCCATAAAGGGACTAATCAAAGTGTCCCTAGTGTACTTCTCTGGATATGCCACAACAAGGGTACCAAGCCATGTCCTTCCTCTTCCCCACAATGCTAGGAGCCCTGCCGAGGGCATCAGTGAGTGAGTCCTGAGACAGGCTGAGGTTATTGGAGACAGCCGTGCAGGGTCTGCCTTAGATCCTTGGCTTCTCTTCTGTGCAAAGCAAGGGAAAGGAAACCTCTGCATACTGAGGGCAAACAATGAGGTCCACTTGGGGGTAGGCCAAGGACATCTTTGCTTCCTCACCTGCCACCCAGATAGCCCAAGTAAGTATACCCGGCTCTCCAGGGACTCGGGGAGTCTGAGAGCCCCTCCACCTCCATGCTCCTGAGCACTGCCTCAGGCTGCTGGGGCCCCGTGAGTTGTGCCTTGTAGCTGTGCTTGGAGTGCGAGGCGTGCACACCTGTGCAAGGATCGCTCCAGCCTCCAGCGAACAGCTCCAAATGCACCCAGCCTGGATATGTGAGGTCAGAGGAGGGTGTGGGCACCAGGCCCTGCTTCTCCCACTGAGCTCCTCCCAGCTCCCCCTTGGTCTTGTGCAAAGAGGCTCAAACATTGGCAGGTCCCCACCACTCCCAGTCTCCCTCCGCCTCTGCGAACCTCATGCTGTCACTCATCCCCTCAGTGGAAACAATTGCCACTGTCAGGAAGATTGAAGAGGGATTTAGGTTCCATAATAAGAACTTGGCATTTGGGGGAGAGCCAGACATCCGGAGAGGTGAAGGAGGTAGGCCCTTCCTTGATTTTTTTTTTTTTCCCCAGGACAGACTGTTTTCCTCCGGGTGAGGGTGGATGTCTGAGGGGAAGGCCTCACCCTCCCCTGAGCCCACAGCCCAGCCCCTCTGCTGAGGCTCCGCAGCAAAAAATGCTGAGTGTCGAGGTTACTTTCATTGCTATTCAGACAACAGTCCTATTGATATTCAAGGAAACGCTCTGTTCATGCTCTGTTCGGAATCTTCCTTTGGGAAGGAAGGCCAGGCCTGGGTCTCAGGTCTGTTTCCTTGCCTTGCCCACGGCTCTGTGGACCCCTCCTGCCCCAGGACCTCCAGCCTCCAAACTCCCAGCCTTCCTTTCTCGCCCATGGAGCTGCTGCCACACCCCCTGCTCCTCTACCCTTTAGGAGGTGGGACCCTTGGGGGCTTCTGGAGGAGGCCTGAAGCTGCCCTGTATCACCATGGGGCATGGCCTGCCCCTTCCCACCTGGGGCAAGGAGAGAAGGGGTATCCCTGGGATAGCTCTGTAAACAGCCCGTGCCTTTGTTGTCTTTCCTAGTGATTATCATTTGGGCAACAGGCTGAGGCAAAAAAGCTTGGAAGGTTGACTGTCGGAGGCTTGGCAGACGGGTGGGGGTGGGGCTGCAGAGGGAGGGCTTGGCAGAGGGGTGGGAGTCCCACTGGGACACAGGCCTCAGCGCTGGGACCCTTATCGAGGCCCTCCCTCTCTGACCGGTCAGCCTCCAGCCACCCCCTCCCTCTCCCAGCAACCTTCTCCGCCGCCCACTCCTTCTCTCCCGGGACCTTGGATAATGTCCACAGGAGGACTTGAAAATAGAACGCTGGTTTGTTTCGCGTCCTTGGCACCCTGCCACCAGCATCAACTCCCTGCGGCCAAGGAAGGGCTGCCCCAGCCCCTGGTTTCCCTCCCCACCTTGGCCAGCCTGATATGAGGCCTGAGTTTCTTCCCCGCCTGCCACCATCACCCCTGATCTTTTGATGGAAAGGGACCTGCTATCACCTCCCCTGAGAGGATGCGGCAGGGCCCATGGGGGAGAAAGGACACTACCCCTCGTCCCAGGTACCCCTGCTTTCATGGCTACTTCAGAAACACTGGGGTGGGGTGAGATTGACGTGGGGCCAAGAGCCCTTTGCTCTGGCCTGCTCTCTGAAGCAGCCCAGCTCTGGGACTGGAGACCAAGCTGCTGGGCTGAAGGTCTTACTACATTTTCATGCTTTCTGTTGAGACTCTCTTCCTGGGGGACCTTTGCTCCTGAAAGAGTTGTAACCATCCCACACTAGGCCCTCTAGCTAGCGTCCCCATGAATCTCCCAGCCCAGTCTGGTCAGGAGAGACCAAGAGGGGAGGGCATGCCCAGCACTGACACTCTCCCCCCCTCCTGTTTTCTGCTACTGTAGGTTAATTGCCTTAGAAATGGCAAAGATTCACACCATCCACGCCAATGGCAGCCTGCCCAAGCCGACCCTGTGGCACAAGATGCACAATTATTTCACGCTGGTGAAGAATGAGATCCACCCAAGGTACAAAGGTCTGGGAGGGTACAAGGCTGCCACTGTCTCTGCTGCTGTAATCTGCTCCCTTGTCCCTGTTCTTTTGGCTCTAGCCCCCTGCTCCCACTACAAGAGGTTTAGGGGACAGGGCCTGGGATGGGGCCAAGAGCTTCCCTGGCAGCTCCTTTGGTCCCAGTTGCTGGGCCTCGGTCTCCAGGCTGATTAGGCTGGTTGATTGCATCTTAAAAGTATGGATCAGCAGTTTTATACACATGTGCTTATTTCTCCTTGAGTCTTCGATGGTGGCAGGGACTAGGGTCAGGGGAACTTCTCTCCGTGTTACTTAAAGGAAACTGAGGCTCAGAGACAGAGCTTTCCCCAGCGCAGGCTGCCAGGCAGGGCTTCTGTTTTCCAGCCCCGGGTTCTTTCTGCCTGAGCTGCCCTCTGGACAGTGGGAGGGCAGGGTGCTCTGAGAACAGGGAGGGACTGAGCTCAGAGTCACTCAACAGAACAGCTCAACAGCCAGCAAACCCTCGGGTCATGCCGGCTCCTGCTGCCTGCCTGGCCTCTTCTCATGCCCACATGGCTGACACTTGCTATTTCCTGCACCACTCCTTCCAGGGACTGACACTGCCTTTCCCCAGGCAAGGCAGGGCGCCCCGAGTTTTTCCTTCAGCTCTTTGGCCAGACAGACCCGACTCCCAGCACACCCCGGGGTACCCAGGAAGGACAGAGGCCTGTTTACCCCTCCCCTCCAAAAGTCAAAGTCAGCATTGAATCTCTCCATGCACCTTGCTTAGGTTCAACATCACTTTAAAAAACATATACATTTTAAAAAGTTTTAAGTTAACAGAATTGTACGTATTTATGGAGTACAGTGTGCTATTTGGATACCTGTATAAAATGCGTAATGATCAAATCAGGCGCGTTGGTGTATCCATCACCTCGTGGGTTGTTTCTTTGTGTTGGGAATGTTCAAAGTCCTCTCTACTAGCCATTCTGAAATATGTAATTAACTTGAACATCATTTTCCTTCTAGAGGTTCATGGGAAATCTGGGAGAAGGTGTCTCCTTCCTCCTCTAAGATGACATTCATTAACCCTGTCACCGTTGTGTGTCTCTTGAACACACACGTGACTTTATCTGGACCCTCCTGCTTAACGATTATCAAGCGCTGCTTTGGGACTGTTTGTCCAGGCTGGCCCCAGCCTGCCCTCTATTTGACCATGTTCGGACCTGTGTCACATGTTATCTCTGGAACAAGGACACCCTTTTCCCTGGGGACTGGAAAGACACATGGAGAACAGGACCCTCCATCCACCACTTGGTTCGACAGACAGGAAAAACTGAGGCCCAGAGAGGGGATGGGACTTGCCCAAGGTCATGGCCGGTCAGTGGCAGCTCAGGGACTGGGGTGCCTCCTGGTGCTCAGGCATGATCTTTGATTCTGCAGTGTCCTTTGGCTGTTGTCTCTGTGTAACCTTGGAGAGGTGTCCTTGTTGGGAGGAGAGAGATCCCTGGAGAAGAGCTGGCCAACTCCCTTTGCTCTTGGCATGCCTTTGACATTGGACACATTAAGGTTTAACTTCTTAGAGCCTTTTTAGGAGATGACCCCCTGCCCTGTGCTGAGCAATCCTGCACACCAACTAGACAAAGCACCTTGAACTCCTAACCCTGGTTTATCCAGTTCTTCATTTCACAAACATTGAGTGACTGGGATTTAAGATAATAAAAATTTTAAAATGACCGTGTCATTGGCCCTGTCCTCAAGGAGCTTAGGAGTCATCTAGGTAAACAGGACCTGCCCAAGCTCGACTACAAAAGAAGGCGAGGTATTTCATGCATGCGGAGGGTTTGAGAGGGGGAATGAAGGGAAGGCTCAGCAGAGGTGCTGGTTGAGGTGAGCAGGGGCCACTCTAGCTGGAGGAGAAGGTGACTGAGCAGGGTTTGCCCAAGGAGACCTAGGCCATGAGGTCCTCAGGAGAGTCCAGAGCCGGGAGGGAGACAGGGCACTTTGGATCTAGAGGTGGGGACTTCAATGGCCAGCTAAGGAACCAGGACTAAAGTGAGCGGGCTGTGGAAAGTCCCGCAGGTATCTGAGCAAGGATGTGGCTTAGGAAGGAAACTATGAAGTGTACCGTAAGGGATAGATTTGGGTGACAATTGAGGCAGGGTGGGGACTAGAGGTAGGGAGACGGGTGGAGGAGTGTTGTCATTAAATGAGCAAGTTCTAGGACTAAGGTTCCCAAGTTTGGAGCAGAAGGTGCCCCAGGAGTGCTTTCTGAACCCAGATTCCCAGCCCAACACTGGAGTCTGATGGGGAGGTCTTGCTGGACCCCAGGAATCTGCCATTCGGTAGGCTCCCCAAGGGATTCTGCCCTGGGAACTACACTTGGAGAGAAAATTGCTCTAGAACAAGTGGTGGGGGGAGGCAGGTGGAGAGCAGAGGGGACCTAGAGATGGGCACCTAGAGCTGATAGCCACCGTGTCTGTTTGGACCTGCAGGTGTCCAGGGTGGTTTGGGGAATGTGGGACTGATATGCACTTCAGGGACATCAAAAGGAAATACTGGCCAGGCGCATGCCTGTGATCCCAGTGACTGAGGAGGCTGAGGCAGGAGGGTCGCAAGTTTGAGGGCAGCCTCAGCAACTTGGAGAGACCCTGCCTCGAAACAAACAAACAAACAAAAGCTGGGCTATAGCTCAGTGGTAGAGCACCCCTGGGTTCAATCCCAGTACTGAAAGGGGGAAAAAAAATAGAGACTTATAGGTGGGCTGGTGGGAGGGCAAAGGTCAAAATCCAGGAAGCTGGAGTGCTTAGAAGGTCCCCCAAGGGGGAAAGTACTTTTGTCCTGTGTGCTCCGAGACCTGAGTGACCGAGAGCCAGGCAAGAGTCCCTTCATCAGCAGGAGCTCCTAATGCGTCCCTGGGGCACCCTCGCCCCTCCATCTTCTCTTGTCCCTGAGGTGCCTGGAATGGGGTTTCTGGAAGGGGACAGTGGTCACTCTACTGTCAACCCCACAGCCTTGGGAGAATCTGGTGGCATCAGGACTGAAGGTGGCAGAGCTGGTGGGAGCTCAAGTGCTCAGGGGAGGGACTCCTGAGCTTGCAGAGGCGCCAGGGAGATAGGAAGGAGGATGGTTCCCACAGTAACCATCTTCATGGCCTTGGGGGGGGGAGGTGGGAGGGGTCAGGCAGAGGTCAGGGACCAGGCAGCAGGCTTGTGGATGTCAAAGCCATGTTTTTCAGACTGGGACCTGGGCAAGCCAGAGGAAGCCTCCTCCTCCTTATCTTTCGATGGTCTCAGTCCAAGAAAAGAGGAGTCTTCAAAGGAAGTGGCTCCTTAAGGAGCGTCAAGATTGAAATCTGTCGCATGCAGAGCTCTGGACGGAGATAAGTCCAGTGCGGGTGAGGGGAGCCCCCTCCCCTCCGTGGCCTTCCTGGCTCCCTGAGCCTCTTAGCACCCCAGATCCCGAGGCGCCGGGCCTCCGGGGAGATGCACAGCCTCACCTGGATTGGGAAGCTCCGAGTCCAGAGCTGCGTGGAGGCCGGAGGCAGCTCTGTCCCTTCCTGGAGCCTCAGTTTCCCTGTGGGGTTGGACCACAGGATCTGGGATCCCCTTCAGCTTTGACCTTCTCAAAGCCGGGGAGGAGCCTGCAGGTTCTTCCTTTTCCAGAGGGGCCGTGGGAACGCTTTGGCCACTGAATATCCTGCCCATGCTTAACCTCATTCCCCTTCTCAGGCCTCTGCACCCTGGGCACAGAGAGACGAGGCCTAGGTTCCTGAGTGGAGATGATAAAACCCACGGTCCTGGGTTTTTGAGCACACACAGACCTGTGTGCCTCTGAGAGGCCAAAGTTCAGAGCACCTGAACATGTTGTGTCCTCACCAGACCTTGCGTGGACTCCACCGATTGACCAATTCATTTATTTCTCAATGCATATTGATTGAATCAGAAATGGCCGCTGAAATGGGGGTGGGTGGGGCATGTTTGTTTTCATCCCCTTAAGTTGCTCAGGTACCATCTGGCAGGGGTCCAGGACAAGGAAACACAATTCAAGGTGGAAGGGACCCATCCCTGGGGAGCGTCAGAGCAGTACTTTTCCTCTGGAAGACCTTTCCGTGCCCTTGGCATTGAAGGAGTGAGCCCAACAGCACTTTGCCTTCTTGCTGGGCCAGAGAGGTGCTTCTGTACCACATGAGGTTAGGCCAGAGGGTCCCAGTGCCTTCCACCTGTGACTTTGTCAGCTGCTGGAGTGGGAGTGGGACACAACAGGACATGCCTCTGCCGCTTCAAGAGGATGCCTTTGCTCCAGCAGTTGCAGGGCATGGTTACTCCTTCACTGGAGAAGCTGCAGGTTCTCCCTGGGGATTTTCCCCACGCTCCTGGACCCAGATCTGTTCTGCATCTCCCCCCACTCCTCTGTGGGCCGCCTCCTCCCGTAGTCTGGAATCATTCCATCTAGACCCTGGCTCTCACTGCCCCTCTTCTCTACCTTCTCTTCATGAAGTAGCAGGGATGCCATTTGGTCAGCGACTTTTATCTGGGCCAGTCGCTTTCCTGCCCAGGTTTGAATCCACTACTTATTGTAAGCACAGAAATTAGGAGGACAGGAAGCCTAGGGCCAGCTGACAAAAGTGATGGCAAAATTGAGGGTCTCAGAGGCTGGCCATTGTCTGAGGCCTCTGCAGTCAGGGGAGAGATGAGCCTGGATCCCGGGGGCCTGGAGGCCGGTGCCTGCCCATCTGGACTGGCCCTCCCTCCACCGTTACCTTTCTGCCACTGTCCAGCCTCTCTGCAGATGTCCCTAAGTTGGAGGTGTTGGAATGGGAGCTGGCCTGGCTGAAGGAACACTTGTCCCAGCTGGATTCCCCGGTGGTGTTCTGTCACAATGACCTGCTCTGCAAGAACATCATCTACGATAGTGCCAAAGGTACAGCTCCCCTGGCCTGGCCGGGGGTGGGGGAGGTGGGTTGGGCATCTGCTCCTCGGGCTGGCCCTTGGACAAGCCAAAACAGATCTGGGTTTCAATCTGCAGTCAATTTATTTATTTTTTTCATAAATTTATTTTTTGTACTTGTAGATACACAGAATGTCTTTATTTTTGTTTTTTTATTTTTTTTATTTTTTATGTTGTGCTGAGGATCAAACCCACTGCCTCATGCATGCTAGGCAAGCACTCTGCCACTGAGCTACAGCTCCAACCCCCAATTTTTTTTTTTTCAATGTGGTGCTAAGTTTCGAACCCCAGGCCTCACGCGTGCTAGGTGAGCGCTCTACCACTGAGCCACAACCCCAGCCCCTGCAGTTAATTTATAGAAAAGGAGACAAGAAATTCTCCTTGAGAAAAAGCTATCCCAGGAAGGAATTCCGAATCATGGTCTGGGGAGGTCCTCCACGTTAGCCATTCCTCTTGAACAGGACTTGCCCCAGCCTCCAGAGGGAGTGAGCCTCCTGGTTTCTCTGACGAGGGCATTGCCCCCAGAAAGTACACTTGTCCCTTGGCGTGCATGGGGAATTGACTCCAGGACCCCTCAAGGATGCTTAAAGCCCTTATATAAAATGGTGCTGGCCTGGTGGTGGAGCTGTATGGTAGAGCCCTTGCCTAGCATGCAGCTGGCTCCGGGTTCCCTCCCCAACACTGCAAAAATAAAAATAAAACGGTATAGTATTTTTAAATAACCTATTCACATTCTCCTGTATACTTTTTATTTATTGGTACTCAGGATTGAACTCAGGGGCACTTAGCCATGGAGCCACATCCCCAGCCCTTTTTATATTTTATTTAGAGACAGGGGCTCACTGAGTTGCTCAGTGTCTCGCTGAGTTGCTGAGGCTGGCTTTGGACTCAAAATCCTCCTGCCTCAGCCTCCTGAGCTGCTGGGGTTACAGGTGTGCACCACCGTGCCTGGCTCCTGTATACTGTAAACCATCTCTGGGTTACCCATAATACTTCATACAGTGTGGATGTTCTGTAAATTGTTCCTATACCATGTTATTTAGGAAATGGCAAGGAAATGTCTGCACATGTTTGCTACGGAAGTTGGTTGGTGTACAGAGGTGGCGCCTGTGGATACGGAGGGCTACCTGTGCACGGCAGACCCCTAGTCATGCTGAGAACAAATGTTTTCTGGGGAGAGCTGGAGGTGGGAGCTGGGGTGGCACAGATGGACAGGTGGACAGATAGAAGCTGCAAAAGCCGGCAAGAGCCAGGGGGCGCATTCCGGAGACTGGGCCCTGTTGCCAGGTCTGGGCCAACCTTCATGGCCTCCCCTCTGCCTCCCAGGTCACGTGCGGTTCATCGACTACGAGTACGCGGGCTACAATTACCAGGCCTTTGACATTGGCAACCACTTCAACGAGTTTGCAGGTGAGGGGCATTTCTGCTGGGCCTGTACCCAAGTCCCCATCCTTGTGATGGGATTAGGTCCACAGGCGGGACCCAAGGTGGTTCCATGGAGGGTGGCAACTAGATAGTCCCTGTCCTGTGACTGTCACAGCTCCAGGTGGGAGGCACAGCCTGGCTGTAGCGAGCTTCAGGTCTCACAGGGGAGACAGGACCACCCCCCCCCACACGCCCACCTTTGTTAGCCTTTGTGGCAGTTTGGTATAAATCAGGAAAATAATTCCTCTGTGGGGACCCAGGGGATACTTGTCCTGCATGTGAATTAGAAAAAGTCCCCCCCTCTGGGCAGACACAGCCCATGCCAGCACGGCCAGCACCACACAGGATGGCTTGTCTCTACTTGCCCCTGTCCCGGGTCCCTTATTCTGCATGGTTACACATGAGGGCCCTGCATGCAGACAAGGCAGGGCCGAGCTTTGGCCTGGTGACCTGGAGAGCATAACTAGATGGGGCTACTTAGAAGTTACATACACAGCTTTGCCGCTGTATGACCATCCGGCAGATTACTGACCCTCTCTGTGCACCTGTAAAATGGAGATGGTGATAATATCTGCTTCGTAGTAGTGACCTGAGTCACATACACCCCTCAGCACAGACAAAGCAAATGGTTGGTGTTGGCTGCTGCTATCAGGTAGGGCGGCCTTCCTGCAGCTGCCAGGGAGACCGGAATGGGAATGGAAGCGTCTAAATGAGGTAGGACAGATTCCGAGGGTAGGCGACTGTTCCCTAGAGGCATTATTTGTACAGCAGGACCACCGTTCGTGTAAAGGGAGCAGGGTGGGCTTTTCCAGCTCCAGGGCTTGAGGTAGACAATCAAGACTGAGGAGGTCCATAGATGGAGCCGGCCCTGGGGCTGGAGGGGTGTCCCCTGGCTGGCAGTGTGGGGTGCTCAGCATGACATGGCCAGGCCCTGGAGCTCAGGATAGGTAAGGTATGCCCGGGCCACCTATAGAGCCACCCCCTGGACAGAGCAGCTGAGCTTCTAGGTGTGGCCTGGAGCAGAGGTGGCCCTGGCAGAACGGATGATTCCTAAGCATTTTAAGTCCCCCTTACCCACAGCCCAGAGCAGAGTCCAGAGAAGGAGAGGGAGGAAGAGGCCTGGCTCAGGGAAGGTGTCCCAGGCCTGCTCCTGTCCTAAACCACCTCTGTTCATCCTGGCTCTGATGCCCAGGTCTCTGCCACCATGCCTTGCACGACTGGGCTGGCAGCTTGAGGACTTGTAGAGAGGTAGTGCTGGTCCACGGGTGCCCAGCCTGGCCACCTGTCAGAATCATCCAGAGAATCTGGACGGCGTGGGGGGTGCTCTCTGAGGGGTGTTTTTAAGGAGCCTCTTGACACCGGTGGGTGCAAATAGGTCTAAGCAGCTTTTGAAATTCACCACCAAGTGCAGCTCCCTCACCTGAGAATGAAAATCAGGGGGCGCGGGGAGAGGAAGGGCTTGTCTGGGGTTAGCGGGGCCTGGCGGAGACCTGAGGCTCCTGGGGTTCATCTGCGCTTTGGCCCAGGGCTTCTGGAGCCCTGGTTTTGCACAGTGCTCATGTGGTGCCACCCTGGAGGGTCACTGTCACTCTGAGGACAGTGCTCCTCTTTACTTTCTCAGCCCAGAGAAGCAGTGTCCCCAGCTGGGATGGGGAAGACCCCACCCCACCCCAGGCCCCATCAGCGGAGCTTGGAAGTCAGAGAAGGCACCTCCCTGGGGCCCCCCTTGGGCCCAGCCTGCAGGTCGGGGGAGATGGCAGTGTTAGAGGAGGAGGGACACCTGTCCAGGTGGCCCTCGCAGCACCTTCTGTCTGGCCTGCTTCCCCATCAGGTGTGAATGAGGTGGACTACAGCAGGTACCCGTCGCGGGAGACCCAGCTGCAGTGGCTGCTCTACTACCTGCAGGCACAGAAGGGGACAGCTGTGACCCCCAGGGAGGTGGAGCGGCTCTATGTGCAAGTCAACAAATTTGCCCTGGTGAGTGCTTGTAGCTGGGAGGAGGGGGCAGGGGAAGGAGAGCCCCAGCCCTCCACTCAGAGGCCAGGACCCGCAGGGAGCTCTGACCCCCACCCTAGAGGTGGTCTAGGAAGAGCCATCTTAGGTGTCCCCTTCATACCAAGGTGGCCTCTTCCCTGCTCCGTCAGCTCCATCCCGTCGAGGTTCCCTCCTTTCTAGAGAAATACTGACAAATCTCATCTTCCTATCTTAGAAATTCTGTCGTTTGGATGAGTAGTTCTTTCTGTGGTCTAACCTCTGCCTTTCATGCTACAGTGAAACCCATCCTTTTCACTGTCTTTAGCCTTTGAAGGAGGGTAAAGGTGTGTCTTGCACAGGCAACCACTGAAATTCCTAGAAGCACCGTCCTGCTGTTGTGGCCCTGGGCGGGGACAGGGGACGCCAGGACCTGGGTGCACTAGTTCTGCTTGTTTTTGGTTTTGTTTTTGCAGTGCTGGGGCTGAAACCCAGGACCTTGTGCATGCCAGGGAAGTGCCCTGCTACTGAGCCCCACACCTCTAGCCCCTGTCTGTCTTTCTCTAATAGGACAGTGAAGTTCCCCCAGGTTCTGCCCAGTGACTTGGCCACAGCAGTCTCCTCAGCCTGTGCTGGGGAGATCCACCAAGTTTCTGCCAGAGTGACCATGTCCTCCCTGCCCTGTGAGGCCCCTAACAAGCCTGGGCATGGCCAGGCTGATGGTCTCTGATCTGTTTCCAGGCATCTCACTTCTTGTGGGCTCTCTGGGCCCTCATCCAGAACCAGTACTCCACCATCAACTTTGATTTCCTCAGGTGAGTGCAGGGGTAAGTGGAGGAAGGTGGGCACAGGGGTGGAGGAGAAGAGCCCTGAGGAATGGCTACCCCGGACTGAAGGTGTCCAGAGCCATTAGAGATGGGGTAGAAGAGCTGTGAGGGTGGAGGACCCCTGTCTGGACAAGTGATGGTGTCATTGGTAGAGAAATGCAGGTCGAAAGCACAAAGAGTTGTTGCCTCCCACCAGTCGGAGTATCTGCTCCAAACACCAACAAGACCACAGAATTGGTATTGGCAGGAATGTGGAGAAATTGGAAACTCGTGCACGGTTGTTAGGGACACGAAATGGTGCAGCCACTTTGGAAAACAGCACAAAAGTCCCAAAACACTAAAAAATGAAGTGCCGGGACTGAGGCTGTGGCTCAGAGGTAACACGCTTGCCTAGCATGTGTGAGGCCCTGGGTTCGATTCTCAGCACCACATACAAATAAATAAAATAAAGATCCATCTGGAAGTCGCGAGGCAGGATGATTGCAAAAGTTCTGGGCCAGCCTTGGCACCTTAGCCAGATGCCATCTCAAAATTTAAAAAAGGGCTGGGGATGTAGCTCAGTGGCAAAGTGCCTCTGGGGTCAATCCCTGCTTCAAAAACAAAACAAAACCCCAGGCTCTCAAAGAAATAATGTTCATAGCAACATTATTCACAGCGGCCAAGAGATGGAAGCAACCCAAGTGTCCATCAACAGATGAATGGAAAACATACAACAGAATATTGTTCAGTCTTAAAAAGGAAGGGAATATTGTCTCATGCTGCAACACGGAGGAGCCTAGAGGACATTATCCTCAGTGAAATAAGCCATTCACAAAGACAATATATGATGATTCCATTTGTAGACACAGGTGATTGGTGGTTATCAGGGGTTGGCGGAGCAGAAAATGGAGAGCGGTGTTTCATGGGTGCAGATTTCAGTTCTGCAAGGCAAAGAACTGCAGAAGAAGCAAAGAACCACAAAAAAAACATCCACAACAAGAACAACGAAAAAAAAAAAACAACAAAATAAGGTGGTAGAAAAAAAGCGCCACCAGTATCAACAAAAAAAAAATAAGAAGAAAAAAAATTTTTTTAAATCAATCCTGTGGGCTGGGGTGGTAGTTCAGTGGTAGAGCGCTTGTCTCGCATGTGTGAGGCACAGGGTTCAATACTCAGCACCACAAAAGTAAATAAAGAGATTGTGTCCATCTCCAACCAAAATATATATATAAAATCCTGCCCCAGCCTAGACGCCTGGAGCTGGTGAGGAAGACAGCCCCCGGCAGGGACACCCCGGGGTCACACCTGACTCCCCTCCCTCTCTGTTGACAGGTACGCAGTGATCCGATTCAACCAGTACTTCAAGGTGAAGCCTCAAGTGTCAGCCTTGGAGATGCCAAAGTGACAGTCTCCCTCTTCCTCCCCTGCCCATCCGCCTGGCCAGACCTGGTCTCCAGGGCTTGGTTCTGCTCTGGGGTCTGCACCCTTGGACAAGGTGGGAGAGGGGCCAGGTGGGTGTCCAGGGAGAAGGCCACCAGTGGATGCCACTGAAGACCCCATTCTCCTGTTTGGTGGGGCTGATAGGACCCAACTGTGGGGGTCCCCTTCACCTCGCCAGGCTGGGGAGGAAGTGCCTGCACACAGCCAGGGCCTGGACCGGAACCACCCCTGGGAAGCACACCGTTCCCAGCCCTAGGCCTGCTGGTATTGGGGCTGCCTTAGATGTTCTTTGACCCTTCCTGGCGGGGGGAAAGGGAGGGCTCCTTTCTACCTCCAGCGCCCTGGCCGGTCCCCCTGCATGCCCCACATGGGAGGTGCTGAGCCCCAAACCGGCAGCATGCCAATCTGGCAGAAGGATGTACCTGTCTTGAGGATGGAGGGGTGGTCCGCCAGCAGCTGCCTCCTGAACCCCCTCCCGTTCTCCACACTGATTCCCTCCCATCACCCTCCTGAGCCTCAGCTGTCTGTCCCTCTGCAGCCTGCTGGGAGAGGAAAGGGAGCCGGTCATCAGCCCTGGGTCTCAAAGCCTGGCTCTGCTTTGTGCTGTGGCCTGGCCCAAGGGGATCAAGCCAAGGGTGGGGTGGCATGAACCAGAAGCAGCCTCCTGCCTTGCTCCCTCCCGTGCCCTCCAGGCCTCCCTTCCCAGGATCTGTCTCTCCATCTCTACCTTCTGTCCTAAAGTCAGCTCCAGGTCTTCCCACCTGGGAGTGACAGGTGGGAATCAAGGAGCGGAGGGCCAGGGACCTCCCGGCTGGGCATTTCGGAGCCTGCCCAGACCAGATCTTGAAAGGTGCTGACTGAGCTGGGTGTCCTTAACACCCAACAGCTCCCACCTCCCTCTGTCCTCACAGCTCTGGGGACCCTCCAGGCTCTGGGCTCATATAGTGATTCATTTGTAAATTATCGTGGTTTTTCTGCATTAAAATGCTCATTTCTGGACTGCTCCATGTCTCAGGGACAATGGCGAGGGCTTGAGTTGGGGATGCGGTTAGGACTTCAGAGGTGGGGAATCTGAGGTGCGCTCCTTGGGCTTTGCTCCATGCTCAAGTCAAAGTGGTAGGAGCCCACACACCTCCCACGTCCAGTCCCCTGGCTTCCAAGGGTCCCAGGTCCCTGTCGATGGTGCAGGACTGGTGCTTCAGGGCTTGTCCGCCTGTCTTCTTGCTGGAACTAGGCGACCTGGTACAGTGCCGCTTAGAGGGAGCTGGGCTGTGGATCCCAAGAATTTTGGCCAGCCAAGGTGATGAGCCAGGACTCCTTGGTCCTCGCTGGCTTCCAGCTTTCCGAGTGGCAAGGGGGCCTATTCCGGCTGACAGAAGGCAAGAGAGATCTGGGGACCCAGTCTGTCCGTTTCTCGGAAGGCCAGGAGGGGAGAGCAGAAACTCAGAGACAGAAGAGTCCCGGAGTCCTTAAGGGCAGCCAGTGACCACAGCAACAGCCGCCTGCCAGGTGGACTCTGGTTGTTTGGCTTTTGCCTGCAAATGTAGCAGGGTGCCATGGCAACCACTGGAGCAGGCCGGTCGCGGAGGCCTTCAAGGTCACAGTGATTCCGGGTGGCCAGGCCCTCCACGGAGGGTGCTAATGGAGGATATGGGGGAAACGCGCACCTAGACACAGGGGTGGTCAGAGCTGGCCAGTAGGAGGTCCTGAGTGTCATCTGCAGGGGCAGGTGCTCGTGGACAGGACCCGCCAGTGTTAGATGGCAGTGCCCCCCGCCCCTTGTCCTCTCCAAGGCACCTCTAAAGCTGAGGGCAGAATTGACCACTGAAGTCCATTTTTTTTCCTAGCCTCCTGGGGCCTTGATGTCACAGCATGTTGGCTGGTATTGCAGTGATGAGCAGGGAGTGACTGGGAGAGGGTCCCCAGGTATACTCTTTGTCCTGCAGGCTCTCTGGCCACCGTGTGCACGGATGCAGCACCCTCCCGCTGCCTGTGCTGATAAAACATTCCTGTTCCTCCAGGGTTCCAGGAGGGACGCGGGTGGGCTGCGGGGGCTATGCAGGCACAGCCCTGCTCCTTGACAGAGCCGAGCCCCTCCTCCTCTCCTGTCACCGCCACTCCAGGCTAACTGGCATCTGCCCTCCTGGATCAGCACCAAGTTCTGGGCTCTGCCCCGGGCCCCTTCCTAGACCCTCTCCCAGAGCTCCAGGGAAAGGACTTCGGAACCTGGCCTCCAAGAGAGGCAGGGAGGGAACAGAAAGCACAGCCCACACTTCCTGGTAGGGACCAGGACACACTGTTCCCAGCCTCTGCAACCCACCTGACCCCGTCCTCTCATAGGATGGGGGTGGGGCTCCAGTCAGTACCCACAGGGCCTGGCCTGTGCCGGTCTCAGCAGCTGGAGGGAGGACGGAGGTACCCAGAGTACCTTTGGCAGGGATTCCTGTGAACCTCGCGAGGCCACAGAGGACCCAGTAGGGAAGCAAGAGGAACTCGGGACTGTGAGGGACAGTCCCCAGGAGACTTCTGGGGTCGGGTTTGGAAGAGGGGGAGGGTGGAGATGGCCACTGGAAATGGAGTTGAGCTCTCCCTGGTGACCCCTAGGGGCCCCCCTCTTCCCACTTGTCCCCGGCTGTTTCTACCAGGAGCTTGGAGGCTGGGCTGGCCCCAGGGTAAGGCTGGTGGGCAAAGCTCTGAGGGATGGGGCGACGAGGGGCCTGTGGGCTGGCAGTGGGATGCCCCCAGATCCAATGACCAGGACCTTAGTTCTCGGGGAATCTTCATGCCCACACCTTCCCAGGTTTGTGGCCCTTGAACCCACCACACCTCCCCCACCCCACTCCCCAATTTGGAAGCCCCTCTTCCAGTACTCAAGCCTCTCTGCTTCAGTGCTTCCTGTGTTTGAAGTCCATTCTACTTTTGAACATCTTTGTTGGAAAATTATTTTTTTAAAACTAAAATAATGATCCTTGAATCGGGGCCCAACTCCAGTCCTATGAGCTACATAAAATATATTACACTCTTGCACAGCCAGCAGCTTTAAAGAGGCCATCTTGTTCTTTCTGCCTTGTCCTTTTGACCACTCTCGAAGGGCATGTCCACCAAGATCCCTCCAGTCTTCCTCCATGCCAAGTGCCTGCTTCCAGGCCCCTCCAGATGACAGTGGCCTTTTCCAGTGAGAGTCCAGGACTGTGTGGCCTCACCTCTTCCCTTGTTAATCCAGCCCAAGTCTCTCACACAAGAATGGCCACTGAGCTTTGCTGCTTCCATTCCTTATGGATGGGATTGAATTTTTCAAACTTGGGGCCTCAGACACACTAGGCAAACATCATCTCTAAGTTCCAGCCCTAATTTTTTTTTTTTTTTGTACTGAGGATTGAACTCAGGGGCACTCAACCAATGAGCCACATCCCCAGCCCTCTTTTGCATTTTATTTAGGGTCTCACTGAATTGCTTAGTGCCTCCCTGTTGCTTAGGCTGGCTTTGAACTTGTGATTGATCCTCCTGCTTCAGGCCTCCCAAGCCACTGGGATTACAGGTCTGCTCCACCGCCAGCCCTAACCTTTTAACTGCAAGAGTTATCTTTTCAATAGATCCTCATCAATAAGCATTTTGAAGAGTTTCAGTCATGGCCCTTTCAGGCCTCCATATTTCTCCTTTGAAGCATAAAGTCATAGTTAAGAATCCTGAAGCATGTTATTAGAGACCCTGCTTCTTTCATCAGTATGCAGAGGGCTCATTGATGGGCTTCCAGATGTCTATGAGTGAGCCCTTTCTAGGACAAGAATCCGCAGCTTGCTTTAGATTCTCAAAGAGCCCATTCTCCAAGAGTGGGTAAGAACCAAGAAGTTTAATCCTACTGTTTTCAGATGAGGTCGATGAGGCCTAAGGGACTCCTCCACCACCCCTCCTGTGGCTCGTTCTGGGGAGACCCCCGTCTCATGACTGTGATTACAGAGTTCCTACCAAATGCCTTCCTCCTGGGGACCTGGGCAAGCACCCTCCTGGAGCAGGGGTCCTGCTTCCTCATGTACAGTATCTCCCAGCCCTGGGCCTGGAGTGCCCTGGTGTGACCACCAGGGGGCAGCAGCGTCCGGGGCTGGCTGCACATTTAGGAATTCTGGACTTAGGCCAGCCTCCCTCTACCCGGATGCAAGGACTAGATTCTGAAATGGTCTGTCTTTATTATGCCATCAGAAAACAAATGTGCTGGTTAAGTTACTCATCGTTATCTTATTAACAAAATAAAGCACTATCTATGTTTACAGTCATAAAAAAGAAACAGCCTGGAGAGACGTGGGGGTGATGGGGAGGGCAGAAAACGGGAGGCAGGCACGGGACTCCACCTCTGGCCCTGTGGGATTAGAGTCACCACCCTGATCCTAGGGCTGTTCCAGCTCTTTGGAGTTAGGTGCCAATGGGATTTGATTTTCTTAGGGAAATAACTTGTGAAGCTGAACAGGGGCTGAGACCTGTTCCCTAGAACCCAGGATCAGGGAGAGGATCAGACGGGGAGTGGCAGGCCTGGATGCCACCCACCCACCACCCACCCAGTGCTCATGAGGGAGGATGGGGACCATCTGCTCTGGGGCCCCCCTCCAGGGCCTCTGCCACTGACCATCAGTCCTCCTGGCCTCACTCCTGGAACACAGGCTGGGCCCCGGGGCTGGGGCATCAGGACAAAGCCTTTGGAGGAGGAGGCACATTCTCATGCTGCTGGGAGCTAAAAAAGGCTCTGTGGGAATTGACTGGCAGAGTCAGAGGGAGAGAAGACGCAGGCAGGAAGTCAGGGAGGCCGCCGGCCCAGGGCAGTCCAGGGGCCTACAGAGACCCAGAGAATCCAGGGGGGCCTGGGGGTGGGGTGGGGTTCAGGGCTAGAGAAAGGGAGAGAAAGAGGGCCTTGCAGCAAGACAAGGACAGAGAAATGCACACAGGACACACGGAACCTGAGACACCCAGACAAAGAGGTAGCAATTTGGGGACGAAGAGAAGCACAGAGGAGGCCCCCAGAGAAGCAAGAGTGGCATGGAAGAGACATCTGCAGGGACTCAGCAGCAGTGCCTGGCACCTAGCGGGCACTCAATAAATATCTTGTGCAATGACTGAACAGAGAAAATGCACGCGCTCACACACAGCAGCCAGAGGCACAATGGGCTTAGCAGAGATAAAGACGCCCAAGGGACAGTCAGACCTGTTTGCACAAAGTACAAAGTGATCCTGGTGACAGAGGAGTGATCTAGGGGAGTGTGGGAGGGGGTGTTGGTCCCATGGTGGCTGGTCCAGCCAGGACAAGAATGGGAACAAAGCATGTGACCCGGGGAGACAGGTGTATAGCTGCCAACCCCCCAGGTGGGTAGACCTGCAAGAGAAAAGGGTCATCCAGTGTCCCTGGCCATCAGCCCTAAGAGCCAAGGAGCTCAGCCGGCTCGGCTCATCACCGCCATGCAAGCCCCACCCCTGAGGCCGACAGCTCCTCAGGTGTGCAGAAGGTGTGGTGGGAAGAGGAACGTATCTGTATCTACAAGTGCACGGCTTTGCCCATCTCCAGACATACCCAAGTCCAAGTACCAACAGAGTTCAGGCCGGCGGGCTGTGCCCATTGGGTTGGGGCCAAGGTCTTCCCCGGTGAGGAAAGGGCCAGGCCCAGCCAGCTGGGATCAGTCCGTGAGCACCACCAACTCCCCATCACTCTTCTCTTCAGCCTCCGAGTCCTCGTCCTCGCTGTACCGGTACATCTCGCCATCGGCCACCGAGTGCCTGTCATCTGTGCTCTCACCCTCCTCCCTGAGGCTGCAGGTATTGACGATGACAGGCATGTTGGGGTCCAGGCTGTGGGGGACACAGTGCTCCACCAGGGGCTGTGCCGGGGGCATGCCTGCTGCCCGAGGGTATAGGACGTCTGAGGAGCTCATCTGCACCTGGCCGGCCTGTGGGCTGAGATGAAGGAGAGGCGTGGTTACAGGTGCACCCTCCTTTCCACTCCAAACCCAGCTCCCCAACACCTGGTATTAAGTCAAGGGTGCAGCTCAGGGGTAGGACTTGCACACTCCCACTCCACCCCCTCTTGGCTCTGGGACTCATGTACCCTGGCCCCTGGTCTGCTTTCCAATGGCCACTTTCACTGTCAGCCAAGACCTGCACAGATTCAGAGCCATGGGGTGCTCAATAGGTACATTTCTTGGGGAACTGTCTGTGGATCCAGTTTTGGGAAACTATATTCTAAATGCCCAAGGGGGATTTAAATCCATCCGGGTGGTCTTGGCCCAGTCAGGAATCTTTCTGTGGGATGAATACTTTTGACGCCTCCACAGAGCTACAGGCACCTCCCTCCAGGGGCGTGTGGCGGGTCCTCCACAGTCACGCACAGCCACACACCTGTAGCGTCAGTCATGAAGTGCCTACCACATTGCACGTGGTCACTCTCCATTTCCCCTAAAGTCACGCACACAGACCCAACCACACACGGATGACTCCAGGCGCACACTGGACAGACACGCGGCGCCCCGACCGCTCACAAAAGCCAGCCACACACCCACGACCTGCCTCTCACAGTCACGCACACACCGTCACTGGCTGCCCAGGGTGGGCCTGCTCACGGGATCACGTAGCTCTGGCGGGCATCCTGGCGCCGGGTCCTCATCAGGGCCTTGTACTCGCCCACGCGCAGCCGCTTGCCCTCCACGATGCAGGTGCGCTTGGGCCGAGGCTTGTACTTGTAGTCGGGGTATTTCTCCAGGTGCTGCCGGCTCAGCCGCGCCTGCTCCTCATAATAGGGCTGCTTCTCCTGGTTGGTCATGGACTTCCAGCGGGAGCCTGGCCCAGACCCCGGGGTGGGGGGGAGGGAGGCGGTCAGAGCTGGGCCCTGCACTTAGCAAGAACCCAGCCCAACGTGGATGCTCTTTGGACGTTGGACAAAAGAATCAATGAAGATGATGCATAGAGGGGTTCCAACAGCCAGATTAAGACTCGGCACCCACCCACACGCCACTTAACCCAGAAACTTCCAGGAGGAAGTCGGTAATGCCTCATACGCATTAATAAGGGAGCAGCCACCCCGGGCTATCAACAATTCAGATGAGTGCCCAGCTCAGGACAAACACCTGGTATTAAGTCAAGGGTACAGCTCAGGGGTAGCACTTGCCTAGCAATGTGCAAGGGCCTGGCTTCAATCCTCAGCAACACACACACACACACACACACACACACACACTGCAGGATGTGGTGGCATACATCTGTAACTTCAACTACTAGGGAGGCTGAGGCAGGAGGATAACAAGTTTGAGGCCAGCCTGAGCAACTCAGCAAGACCTTGTCTCATAAAAATAAAAAGAGCTGGAGATGTAAGTCGGTCTTTGAATATCCCTGGGTTCATTCCCTAGTGTTCTTAAAAAGAAACCCAAAAAACCTGTTGTCTCAGACAAGATACCTACGTTGACATTAGAGGGGACTCAGTCTTAAATGCAACTGTCTTCTTCCAGCCCCATCTGCCCTGCCCTACATCCCTCCTTGGCCTCCAAACAGTATGTGTAATTCAAAAAATCTTTCTATGCATAGCCCAAGAATACGGATCTCTCCTGTCTTCTGGCACCGCCAGTTTTAGGAATGTGGGTAAATAGTAGAATAGGTTAGGGACAGACCTGGGGAGGCTAAAGAATACATATACACGTGTGTGTACAATACACACACATACACACTCATTCTCTCTCTCACTCACACACAAACACACACACACTCTGCTTGAGTTCTTAGCGGGAAGCACTACCAGAAGAGCCCTACAATGGTTCAAGACCCCAGGACCCAGCTGCCCTGGGTGCAAGACTCCCACACCTCCAGTCATAGCCCACTGGGGTTCATCGTGGGGTGGAATGTCACCGAGCAAGCCTCGAGTAGACCCAGCTGACCCCAGCAACCAGCCCTGCTGCGCTCTGTTCCCTGGAGCCCCGCGCCCCCCAAGAGGCCCACTCCCTGGCCCTTACCGAGGATCTTGCTGATGCTGGAGTTGTGCATATCCGGGAAGGCTTGGAGGATCTTTCTCCTCTCATCCTTGGCCCACACCATGAAGGCATTCATGGGTCTCTTGATGTGACTGCTATTCCGAGACTCAGGGAAGTGGCGAGAGCCTGGGGGACAGGGGGACAGTCAGCAGGGCCACCCGTCTGGGGCTGGCAAAGTGACGTGCCCTATGTGACCACCAGAAGGCGCTGAGGAGGCTCCCAGCAATGCAGGAGCAGAGATGCACCTCAGACCTGAGCCCCAGGACAGAGTCCAGAGGAAACCAGAGCTCCTGTGGTCACAAGAGGCAGGGAAGCAGACCCAGAGATAGAGACACCAGGGGACAAAAGAGGCACACTCACCTGGAAGGACCCAAGAAGGCACAGCAAGGGAGAGAAGGGATCAGAGACAGATACAAGCCCCGCGGGACGCAGCCGTGGGCCCTCCTGCCCCCCTGCCCAGTGCCGGAGCCCTCACCGTCCACGTCGCAGCTCAGCATGGCTTCTTCCAGCGGGTGCACACAGTTGTCCTCCAGCCGCTCCTTGGCTGGAGAGGAGTCCAGGCTGAGGAGGTCCTGAGGTGGACAGGAACAACTTGGACTTCAGTCCCCTTGGTGTCCCGCCCCTCCTCCCCCTGCCCGTCCTTTTGGTGGCCTCGGATTCTGCATCTTTTACCTGGGACCCTGTCCGCTCCAGCCCTCAGGGACAGGCGAGTGGGGCCCATACCTTGAGAAAGGGGGTGCTGGGGGAGCTTTCCAAGGCCCCACTGTGGCTGTGCAACAGCTGTCGAGCATCCTGGATGGCTTTGGTGACAGCATCCCCTTCACCAAGGAAGCCTATGACCGGGAGGAGGAGGAGGAGGAGGAGAAGCTGGGGAGTCGTCCAGTTTGAGGTCGGGCTCCTGGGAGCTACTGGGTGAGTGATTCCCCTGCCCTCTGTGGGGCGGCTCCATGCCCCTACACTGGCTGCCGGGCAGTGTCAACAGACCGGACACAAGACTAGGACACTCAGATTGTGTGGCTCAGCAGCCTGAGTCCAGGGCTGGAGTGCCCGGACAGACGGGATGGGGAGGTGGACAGGAGGAAAAGGGTTTTCTAAACAACTTGTTTTAAAAAATTGGGATCAGAGCGGAAAGAGACATGGCCAAGGTCACATCCGGCCCTCTGGGTCTCCCCTGAGAGAGTGGATGGCAGAGCTCACCCAGAGGCAGACTCGGGGGGCTGGACTGCAGGTCCCTTGTGGGGGCCCCGTGGCTGGGGGGGCGAGGCCCGCAGTTGCCCATCTTCAGGCTGGGGGAGCTGGAGGCGCTGGGCAGCTCAGGAGCCTTGGGCTTCGCTGTGAGGTTCAAGGGCTGGGAGGGCTCCTGGGGGAGATCCAGAGGGTCAGGTGAGAGACACCAAAGGAGACCCCTTGGGGACACCAAGGGACAGAGACACAGAGGGAAAGTGAGCAAAGTGAGCATACCCAGGCAGACAAGGTGAGGGACCAAGAAGAGAGAGAAGTGCAGGGTGAGCCAGAGCAAAAAGAGGCGGAGGGCGGTACCTGCAGGGGGTGGTGGGCGGCCATGGGCCCCGGCCTCTTCACCACCGGGGCAGGGGGGCTGTGCAGCAGCTGCAGCGGGTACTCCACTGTGGAAAAGGCGGCAGGGAGAAAAGTCCTGGATGAGCACAGAACAGCGGACACCTGCTTGACGAGGCCCCCGCACCACAGGCAGGCAAGGCTCGGAGCTGGCCCAGTTGGTCCCAACCACTGCCCCCAGCTCCAAAGCGCTGCTGGGGACCACCTATCCCCTCCTGCCCCACTGCCCTCGTACACTAACTGCCATTCACCCTGGGCCTGCCCTTCCCAACCCACTCCACAGAGTCTCCACTGGCCAGGTGTGATGGCTCATGCCTGTCGTCCCAGCAGCTCCGGAGGCTGAAGGAGAAGGAGCACGAGTTCAAAGCCAGCCTCAGCAACTTAGCGAGGCCCTAAGCAACTCAGTGAGACCCTGTCTCTAAACAAAATACAAAACAGGGCTGAGGATGGGGCTCAGTGGTTAAGCACCCTTGGTCAATCCTCAGCACCAAGAGGAAAAAAAGAAAAAAGGAAGAAAGAAAAAGAAACTGAGGTCTTCTAAGACCTTCCATGACTTGCCCACAGAGCTATTAAACAGCAGCACCAGGATTTGAACCCAGGCCCTGCAGACCCTATAGCCCCACCTCTTCCCTCTCCGTAGTGCTCTTTTCTACCTACCCACCCTCCCTCACTCTCCATCAATCAGGCCCTGCCAGGCCCGTGTCAAGGAGGTGGAGAGATAAGCCCTGTGTACAAATCACTAACCACATGGCAGGTGGTGAGAGATAAGGCCCCCAGGTGGCATATCAGGGGACTTTGTTCCAGCTAGTGTGACTAGAGCAGGCTTCCCAGGGCAGTTGGATGTGAGCTGGGACCTTCAGGATGGGCAGGGTTCAGGGAGGTAGATATGGGGCGGTGGGGACACGTGGGGAGTGAAACCAGACACAAGGTGAGATCAGGTCCGAAGCCTGTGAGTGTCAAGCCTTGGGTATTTGAACTCTGTGCTGCAGACCACAGGGCACCGCCCGAGGCTTGTGGAACAGGGAGGGGGCAGCAGCGGGGGCTGGCGGGGCAGCTGTTCACACTCCTGAAGCAGCCATGGGCAGCACATCCGCCCTGCCCCCATAGCTCACCTGGTCAGTGCCCTCCACGCCCTTACCACCCATAGCCAGTGCCAACACATTTACCACTCAAATGTTCAAGTCTACCCCGACTCCGGCAAAATAACCCCAGACCCCAAGCCCCCCTCACTGGCCTCCCTAGGCATGCCCCACCCTCACCTCCCTTAGCTCCACCCCTGCACCCTGGGCCTCTGTCTGGCCGCCCTCCTCCTGGACTCTCTCTCCCCACAGCTCCCAACTTCACCCTTGCCCATCCACCCCTTACCCAAATACCACTTCCTCAGCCAACCTCCCCAGGCCCCTGATGATTGATTGGCATCCTCTGTCTCTCCCCAGACTGAATTCCTTGAGCTCAAAGTTCATATGTCATCACCACCAACAGCACAGTACTGGATACATGGTCACTGTACTGAATTTCAGTGCAGGAGTGACAGGGTAAAGACAGGGATCAGAGTGTGAAGGCAGAAATGGTGGCCATGGCCACTAGAACCCGGCAGATGCTGAACTAAACCTCAGTTAAAATTCAAGATATTGCTGGCACGGTGGTGCACGCCTGTAATCCCAGCAGCTTGGGAGGCTGAGGCAGGAGGATCACGAGTTCAAAGCCACCTCAGCAACAGGGAGGCACTAAGCAACTCAGTGAGACTCTGTCTCTAAATAAAATACAAAATAGGGCTGGGGATATGGCTCAGTGGTTAAGCACCCCTGAGTTCAATCCTCGCCCCCTAAAAACATATTAATATTCAGGCATGATAAATGTACCAGAGTGGGCAGGCAGACACAGAGAGCCGCCTCACCTAACATCTGGAAAGCCCTCGACCGTTTTCAATGCACAATTTCCTTTTCATTCTCCCAACAATGATCAGAAAGGAGCAATTACTCTTCCACTGCACAGATCCCAAACTGAGGCCCAGAAAGTCCACAGAATAAATTAATAGAAGACAGAGGTTCCAAGGCTCCTTCCCCGACCTTAGGACAAGCCGGTCACAGTGGCAGACCCCCCCCTCCCGCACTCACCTGGTTTGCAGGGGATGGGCTGAATGGGCAAAGCCAGCTGGGAGTCAGGGGTGACAGGTAGAGGCTGGTGGCTTGGAGGGAAAGCTGGGATCATGACGTAAGGCATGTTGACCTGCTGAAGGCAAAGAAACCTTGTGTGAGCCCCTGGGGCTCAAAGAGCTACTCAGCTGTGGTCAGCCTGGGACACAGAGGATGGAGCCATGCATGAGAGAGGCATAAGGCATAGGACAGGGACAGTCTTCATAAGAACCCATCTGACACCATGTTCCCATCTCTCTGCTCTTGAGTCTCGGCTGGGGAGGAAGAGGATACCCTGGGCACCCCCCTCCATCAAACAGGGAATGCAACCAGGGAGGAGGCTTGAGGGGAAACAAGGGCCCTGGTAAGGGTTCAGGACCGAGCTGGATCCTGCACCGTGCAACTCTTGCCTGGCCTACATCCCCCATCCCCAGCCCCAGCCCCCCGCGCTTACCTGGATCTGCTGCTGGAGGAGGTTGATCTTATGCTGTTGTTGAATCAGCTGCTGCTGCTGCTTGGCTATCTGTGGAGGGGAAGAGCAGGCAAGAGGGCCATGGACACCAGCCCTGGGCACTCAACCCCAAGCCTGCCCTGCACTAGAAGCCAAGACGGAGCAGAGTAGCCCGGCCTTCCCGCAGAGCACAGAGATGGAGCAGGAGCACAGCCCCCGCAGCAGGCCTGCACCCAGCGCCTCTCCATCCGCCCCGGGTCTCGGCCGCACCTGCTCCTGCTGCTGCCGGGCCAGCTCCATCTGCTGCTGCTGCTTCTCAAAGAGCATGGCTGCCATGTTCTTTTGCTCTGAGTGGGCTGTCAGGAGCTGGTCCCGCAAGGTGGACAGCTGGTGGATCATGACCAGAAGCTGCAGCTCCTTCTCTGCCAGGCTCTCTTGGGTCCCTGCTCCTCGGTGAAACAACCACCGTGCAGAGTTTTTGTTAGTTCATCCGTCTACCCATCCACCTGTCCACTCAGCCATCTGACATTTACTGAGCAATTACTACATCCCAGGATGTGATCAGTGGAGTTACTCACTTCTAGGCACGTTAGGGCAGTTTTTAAATCTATAAATGGGCACAAGAACTGTGAGATTGAATGAGCTCATGCATGGAAACCTCTTGGTCTAGGATTTGGTACATGGCCCTCCCATTTAGCTAACATTGGGTATGGCAGTTTGTTCCAAAGTGCCAAGCTGCAGACCGCTTGCACCAGAATCACTCGGGGTACCACGGCAAAATTCAGATGCCCACGCCCCCGCCTGTTAGGGTTCTCTTTCAGTAGCCTGGGATCTGCAATGGTTTTAGGCTCCTTCTGTAGGCGTGATCGACCACACTGGAAAAATGGTCACTCAAAGAAACCCCAACAGCTGCCCTTTAACAACACTCATTTCCTCAGGGAGGTTGGCAGTGAAAGGGACCTTTCTGCTCCTTGTGGAGGTAGAGCTGGGGAAATGGAGTGACAGGGCCTGGAGTCACCAGCATCTCTGACAAGAGCCTGAACCCATACCCGCTCCAGCCAGGCCTTTGCTACATGGGGATCAGCCAGACCCGTTGCTTGGGGGCCCCCAGGGGAGGGATGGTGATGACCCTGAAGAACGGGCAGGAGCCATGTGGCATGGGCCAGGTATGAGGGGACCAAGAACCACAAGAACTGCCCTCCACACCACGGCCAGCCCACAAGAGCAAAAAGGGCTCAGCCCACGGGCCCTGCCGCCCCCACAGGCCCTCACCTTTGACATCTTTGGTTTCCACGGAGCTCCTTCCCAGAAACCTCTCCTTCCAGTCACTGGACAGCAGTTTCTCGATGGCGGGCACCACTGGAAGACACCTGGGATGAGCAGCGTCTTCCCGGCGCCCTGACCCGGAGCCCCCTCCACCTGGGGCAGGCGGCTTACCCTCCTGTAAATTGCGGTTGAAGTCCAGCTTCTCCTGGCTTCCGGAAGCAGCCTCAGAGGCTCCGGGTCTCTTGGGCTCTGGGGACCCGTCACGCTCTGGAGAACTACAGTCCTGTAAGACACCCTGAATTGTCACTGCTGCCCCCAAGAGAAGAGGGGACAAAGTCTGGGGAGGGCTGAGTGTCTACTAGGAGGGAACCTGAGCCCAGCAGCCCCACGGGACGGGACCTCGCACCGCTGCTCACACTTCACCTGAGAGGGACAAAGGAAGGACCTGGGTTTCGGTCCAGGCTTGGTGACTCACAAGTGATCCCACAGAGTCCTGAACTTCCCTCTTCTGAAAGCGGAAATACGAACACCTCCCCTGGCAGGGGACTGTCTGGGGATCGAGGGTGTCAAAGCATGTGAATGAGGGTCCCCACCACAGCCAGGGGCCCAGGCCGCCTCTTAATTACTGCCCCCTGTGCACACCTGCTGCTCCAGCCTGGCGGGCTCCTTCCAGCCAGGCCCCCAGCCCCCCCTCTTCCCACTGAGGTCCTCCCCATATTCAAAGGTCCAGGGGCTCTTCTCGGGTCACCACCCCCAAATCAAATACCTCCTCATTTTCACTCATTCGTTCAGCTTTTATTTATTCCCTTTTTATGTCTCCTGTGTGGACTCACAGATGTCTTTTGGGGGGGGGGGGTTGCCAGGGATTGAACCCAGGGGCTCTTAACCACCGTCACCGAAGTCTTAAGAAGTGTGAGAATCCATACTGAACGTGTCGTTCCGTTCCCTCATTTTAAGGATGTGGAATTATAGGGCATTTTAACCGTGATTTGAGCTCTGTACCTGGGTAATCAGGCCAATTATCTGAAACCCTATGAAAAAGATACTGGCCACTCCTGAGCCCAGTGTTCAGTGTGCATATCCCACCTCTGCAGCTGGTTCTCAGGAGCAAGGACTGGGCCACCCGAGAGTGAGCAGACACGGTAGGATAGGGAGGAGAGTCCACGCCCTGCTCTGGCTTCCGGTCTCACACTGAACTTGGCAGCCCCTCCCTGCCCACCAGAGCAACAGCTTGCCCTAGGATGCCCACTTCTGCCTGCTGTGCTGCCCAGCCAGGGGACGTGTCCATGCTTGCCCAGCCTCGCAGACAGGCTGGGGATAGCAGGTGAAGCTACAGGGGTGGGGTGGGAACGTGGACCCAGGAGCCCCTGGGGAAAGTGCTGGGCACCTGAGCTGAAGCATGGGGGTCAGCAGCATCCTGGGGGACCCGGGATGGGTCGGAGGGCTGGGGTTCAGCTGTAGTGGCCGAACTCTGGGGGGCCTCGTGGCAGGACTCCTTCTTCTCCTCTGACTTGATGGTGCAGTTCACCATGGTGCCAGCGCCATCCAGGGCCAGCTGGGCAGAGATGGGGCTCCTCATGGACATCCTGTGGGAGGAGAGAGAGGGAGCCAAGGTGAGTCCCAAGTGCTCAGGCAAGTGCTCTACCACTGAGCTATGCCCTCTTCCCTTTTAATTTTTAATATTGAGACAGGGTCTCGATAAGTTGGAGGCTAACCTCAAACTTTGTGTCCTCCGGCCTCAGCCTCCTGAGTAGCTGGCGTTATGGGTGTGTGCTACCATGCCCAGCTCCCATGGTCCAGTGAACTTGTCCTTGGAGTCCCAGAGGTAGTGACTCCACTCTTTGCTCACCCAGCCCTGGTACCCCCCTGGATCCTCTCAAACAGGGAGACACACAAAACGGAAGCCTATTTTTGGAACCCAGAGAAAAATTAGTTTAGCCTCTTCTGTCCCTCTTATTTTTTTATTTTTTATTTTTTGCTTTTTATAGAGAAAATTCTAGAGAAGATCTTATCACTCCCCACCTGTAGGAACTGGCAGGCCAATGTGCTTATTTAAGGAGGATAGAAATTGTTAACTGGCTGCTTCCCAGCCAACAGAACTGAAAATGTGTGTGTGTGTGTGTGTGTGTGTGTACATATTTGTAATTGGTTTCCAAAACTTAAAAATCAAGAAATAGCACATAAAAATCTGGATTTGAACTTTCAGCTGAATGACGAAAGCTGGCTAGAAATGAGCAGTAAGTAAGTACTCCTCCTGTACAGGCCGGGTGGCCTTAGATGCCCTGCTCCCTACCTTACACCCTAAAAGGAAACCAAGTATCAACTACCCAGAGTAAGACGATTCTCTTTCGCAGGGCAGGGAACCTAACTCGGGATCTCCTACAAGCTAGGCTAGCACTGAGCCACACCCCCAGTCCTTTGTAGAAACAAAGTAAAAATTAAATATTTCTTCCATTCATGTATCTATCAAAAGTGGGAAAATAAAATACAGGCCATGACATGAATGGTTTTAAGAAAAATATTTGCTGATATGTGGCCAGTCTCTGGTTTAGGAGATGGCCCCGCAGGCAGACATTTGAATTTGCACTCCCTGGCAACAGGGAAGCAGCCAACACACCTGATAGCCCTGCCTCGCTGCTCTGCAGTGCCCCTGTGTGCCTCCCTGCCTGCCAAACCACTGCTGGACACATCTAGAGGAGCCAGGCAATTGCAGGATCTTGTGAAGTTGTTTGCATGGTCATGCCAGGCTTGGGGCCAGAGAAGCAGGTACCCAGCCTCCCAAGTCACGTATCCAAGGACGCACTCTGGAGTCCAGTGGGCATGTAAAGCAGGTTCCTACTAGTTATAGGTCCTGCCTCTGCTACTTGCCCAGCTATGTGACCTTGGGCAAGTTGCCTAGTCTCTGCAGTTTCCTGTCATTCACAAATCAGTATCTTTGGGGACTGGCCAGGGCTTTCAAATTAATTAATTAATTATTTTATCGAACACAGGGGTGCTCTACCACTGGGCTACATCCCCGGCCCTTTTAATGTTTTATTTTAAGATAGGGTCTTCTAAGTTTCGGAGGCTGGTCTTGAACTTGGGATCCTTCTTGCCTCAGCCTCCCAAGTAATCAGGATTAAAGGTGCCGGCCAGGAGCAGGGCCAGGTGATTCTGATAAGCATTTCAAATAAGGTCCTGAGGGTCCTGCCTTCATGGATGGGTTAATATCATCAATGTCATAATCAACGAGTGGGAGTTATGGGGAGAGCAGTTTTGTTGTAAACTGAGTTTGGCCCCTTTTGGTCCTTTGTACCCTTCTGGCCCTCACCAGTCAGTCATGGTGGCGCACACCTGTCATCTCAGCTGCTTGGGAAGATGAGGCAGGAGGATCGCAAGTTCAAAGCCAGACTCAGCAACTTAGCAAGGCCCTAAACAATTTAGGAAGATCCTATTTCAAAATAAAATATAAAAGGTCTGGAGATGTAGCTCAGGGGTTCAGTGTCTCTGGGTTCAATCCCAGGTACCAAAAAAAGAAAAGAAGGCCCTCACCAGATTCCAGCCTCTTGAACTTCCCAGTCCCCAGAACCGTGAAAAATAAATATCTGTTCATCATAAATTACAGTCTGTAGTACTGTTATAGCAGCACAAATATACTAATACACATGTGGATTAAATTCTTAGGGGAGGTATAAGGATAAATCAGAACAGTAAAATATCCCTGCAACAGCAGGTGCAGTACGGTAGTGGAGTAGCCCTCTATCCTCAGAGGCTATGTTCCCAGACACCCGTGTGGATGCCTGAGGCTGTGGGTAGTGCCAACCCTATTTATACTGAAGTTCCTATACACACATAAACAAATCCAATGCCTTTTCCCACCTAATTAAGCATTTATCATCACACATTAGGACTGTAACTTGTATAGTCTGAGTTACCATAGCAAAATTAGCACAAACTTCTTTTTCGGTCTTCATAATTTCATAGATTGAAGACTTGTTCCTACTATATATTTCTAGAAACTTAACCAAAAAATTTTTCTTTCTTTCTCTAGTGGGAATTTTCATCGTTTCAATGAAAGGAAGTACTTCATGGCTGCTCTCTGGCATATCCCAATTCCAGAATCACTGCCCTTGCATTTGGAGCCATTTTATTCAAATAAATAATAATAAGTGCTGCTGCAATACCTCAACAGTCAATCTGACAACTGAGTGACTAATGGGCAGGTAGAATATACAGTGTGGATACTCTGGACAAAGGGATGACTCACATCCTGGACAGTTTGAAATTTCATCATGCTCCTCAGAACGGTGCACAACTTAAAACCTACGAAGAGTTTACTTCTGCCATGTACAACGGCATACATGTACCATATTTTAAATAAAATGATTAAAGGGCATTATAATCAACTAAGATGTGCATAAGATATATATCTGATTTGATTCCACCCTACTGATCAGACCCCAGCAGACTCTCTGCTCACCCACTTCCCAAGTGCACGGTGGTCTGAGGGCTGGTGCCAGACCCAGAGCAGGGAACTGCAGGGTGAGAAGAGAGGGGCCTCCCTATGAGGGTTGGCCCCCATCTCACCTAGACCAAGAGAAAACAAGAGACCCCAGCCCTGAGGTCCCCTCCTACCTCGGAGGGACCTGGAGAGACTCCAGGAAGCAGGCAGCAGCCCATCCGGGCACCGGGAGGGGCTGGGAGCCGGGCCCTGCGCAGGGGGCAGGCGTGGGGGTGGGGCGGGAGGGGTATTATCCTGAAGCTGAGGGCAGCAATTACATAACAAACAAACCCCGGGCTCAAGCTGTGAATTAATCAAACCGCTGAAAATAAAACCTTCCTCTCAGGAACTTCAGACAAAAGAAATGAAAACAACCAGGCTGGCTGGAAAATAAAAGGCAGCGGCGCTGAAAGGGGGACAAAAGGAAACCAGACAATAGGGTGTTGGACAAAAGCAATAAAGCCAAAGGAAGTGTGACAGGCGCACAATGCGGCCCTGTGGGCTTCTGATCCCCGCCGGCTCTGCGCCACCTCATCCCACACCCACTGCCACCAAGCGGGCCACCGGGTCGCCTCCTCCTTCCAGACTTGGGTGCTCAGGGTTTTTCTCCTTCTTTCTGGCCTTCCAGCTCCTACCTCTAAGCCTTTCTTCCCACTGCAGCCCAGAGGCCCTAGAAGCATTCGCAGCAGTGGCCGCTGCCTGTGCACAGTCAGATGAGCATGGGGCGCAGAGTCCTAAGGACGCCTCGCCGGAGCCCGTGACAGCCTGTTCATCCCGTGAGCTGAGCGAGGAAGAGGAGGAGATCCTCTGTCCTGATAACTCTAGGGCCGCACTGCCCAAGGCAGGTGCCACAGGCCACATGTGGCCACCGAGCACCTGTAATGGGCCAGTCCCAGGGGAAACGTGCTGCTGAGTGGCCAACACACCCAAGTCCTGCAGGTTGAACACAAGAGACAGAGTGCAAACTAGCCCGCTGTAACTGGTTATCAATTACGAAGTGAAATTATATTTTGGGTGGATTAGGCTAGATACACTACAACTCTTGAAATCCACTTCCCCTCTTTCTTTTGTTCGTTCGTTCATTCATTCAGTATGGTGCTGGAGGGGAATCCAGGGCCTCTCACAGGCTAGGCAAGGGCTCTGTCACTGAGCTACACCCCTCGCCCTCTTTCTGTGTTATTTGGAGAGGGGTACTGGGCCACTGAGCCATATCACCAGCTCTTTTTATTTTTTGAGGATCTCGCTAAGTTGCTGAGGCTGGCTTTGAACTTGCAATCCTCCTGCCTCAGGCTCTGGAGCCACGAGCTTACAGGGACTGTAGCCTCTCTTTTTAAATGCAAATACTAAAAATTCTTAACTTATTCATATGGGTCTCATTACATCTGTTGGGCAAAGGGGGGCTCTAAGACACATCCTGGCTTTGAGCTTCAATGGCCTTTTCTACCCACACTCTACCCCCCATATACACATAGCCCAGGGTGCCCAGCTACCCGCAACCAGCACTGTGGATTATTTTTATATCAGGGAGCTGCCTCCTGGGCTCCCAGTACCTCAGCCTGGCCATTACTCGCTGGTCTGTCTTGGGCATGTAACTTAACCTCTCAGCCTGTTTCCTCCTTAGTAAAATGGGAATACGAAAACCCAATACGAAGAGGTGAGCCTTCTGTTAACAATCCAGATCCTATCAAATACGCCCGTGTTTCATTCTCCTGGCACTTTGCACTTGGCCTTCAAAGGTCACAGATGGTAATGGTACCTTCACATACCTGATTTATTTGTTTTGGATTTTCCCAGTAGCCAGAGAACCAACCCCACACAGAACATTGTGGAAATAAACCTGTTTCTGCCCATCAATGCAGCCCCAGAGCCTAGTATAGTGCCTGGAGTATAGTAGGGTGTTCAATAAATACGCAGCAGTGATAAAGTGAGTAGCATCCAATACAGCAGCACAGCACAGAGAAGACCTGGCTGTCTAACAGGTGACAGACACTATTATGACCATCATTAGGTAGATGATGCTCTGTCCACCTACGCCCGGTTATCCTCTGCCACCTCTTCCTTGGATCCAAGCCCTTCCTCTGAGTTTGACCTAAATCCCTGTCAGCA